TATCATTCATTCCCTGCCTCCTAACCTCCTTAGTATAATAACCTCACACTTACATTATTTGTTACATCATCATAAATAAAGAATTATTATTGGCATCAGTAGGCCTACAGCTTTACCTAGGCATTATTTTTATAGGGCCTAAAATAGTAATAGGCTAGAAACAACATGTCAAGTGGAGAACTCATTGAAGAAAAGATATTGTGTAAACTAATTTCCTATAAAACTCAAAAACAGTAAATAACATACAAACATTGTTTATGGTATAATTAATAAGGACTAAAAAATGCATATCATGTCATACAGTAGTATAGACCTACTGCAAGAGATTAAAATCCTAAAGCAACTGATTTGGATAGCTAATGAATGAAAAGAATTAAAAATCCATAAAATAAAGCCAAACAATATCACAACTAATTAGGTACCCGAAAAGTAACTCTTAAATAATATATAGAAGATTAAAATAATATTAAATCAAGAGACAAGAAAGTTAAATGCTATCTTCTAGCCTAGTGCCCTTGACAACACAGGTCAATGTTTTTAAACTACCCTCAATGTTTTTGGAACAGCAGGGCCTTTTTCTCTTAAGGAAGGGTAGTAGTATGTAAACAAAAACAATGAATCAGTCTCACCAGCCAGGCCCGGGCAACGATGTGTGAATTCAAGGTCATAGACCCTACCCCTCCCCTCTTACACCACCCGGTTGCTACCCAGTTGCTTCAATTGCTGACAAAATGCAAGTGATGAAACAAGGAAGTAGAGACAAAGAAATATATTTCTTTATTCAAAAACACAAAACTGTTAGAGATTATTTTCAAAGAAATTAATTCAATGTAATTTGTGAGTTGTAAATATTGTATTGGATCTTAGAAATATATTTGTTTAACCCCATCTAACCAAGATACAGATCTGTTCACTATATCAGATATTTCTTTTGTTTATAATTTATTATGTAAAATAATAAAATATATTTTTAATTAGGTATTGAATAAACAATAAATGATTATACTAGTATGTCTGGATAAATAGTCTTTCTTTTGACTTTGTTTTCTTTGCACTGTTAGTGTTGCGTCACGGCTTTTGTCTTGTTACTCTTATCAGTAGAAGACTAGACCTGGCTCTGGCTAGTGGCAGTGCGGCAATTGCTCTGTTGTGTCTTTATTCTTAAAGGTCGTGAGCCAACTTAATTTTTAATTCTCATTTGAACATTTTAATTCCTCTGTAATAATAGATATAATAATATAAGAGTGTTTCTTTGGAAATAAATTATTCTTTTTTTTTCTTTTGCCCCAACAAAAATTCGGGGACGGGGACCGGCAGACACCTAACAAAAATACCAAATGAATCAGTCTATAACATTAATCTTACTAGTTAAGTATTAAGTAACAATTTTTCAGACTTATTTTTAAAATGATTTTGGAGTAACCTACCTTGTTTTGGCTAGGTTCACAGTAGTAAAATATTTCACACACTGCTTACATCAAGACAAAAAACAAACCTCTAATCATTTGCAATGTCAAAACAAAAAAATACAGTATAAAACAATTAAAGCTATATTTAATGCAAAGAATGTATTAAATAAGAACGCCTTCGTAAAGGAAACGCAACAGCAACGCGCTCCTGTATTGCGGGTATTGCATTGACTTTCTGCAGGCGTTTTTCGTATATGGATACTGACTCCCTCGTGAATCGAATCGTTTTTTGACCACCACTGAATCGAATCGCGATTCGATGCATCGAATCGAATCGAATCGAAATTTCGATGCATTTTCGATGCATCGCACACCCCTAAATATATGTAATTTACATACTTTCACTCATTGATACAGAGCAGCAATACTCTCATTGATGTTTATAGCCTAGCGTGTGAGCCGGACCCAGGTGGCGGGTGAGTGCGGCGTTGCCAGTTTGAACGTCGCGGCCTTGTGTATTAGAGGTGGCCAAGGAGTTATGAATGTTTTTGTAAAAATCACATACAGACAGATAGGCCGAAAACGGAATGAGATAGGGCATGTTATATTACATTTTTTTTTTTTTGACATGCTGAATAACGTGACAAGGTTTGTTTATATGGTTGCAAGACACCCTGTATATTTGTAAGCATTGGGGAAAATAAAAATAAGACAATTATGTCATCTTAAAAAGACAAACCCTCATAAAAGCAATGTAAAGTTTGGCTGCTTAGAAAGTGACCTCCTCTAGCATTGGTTAGCATTAAGGCGCAGGTCGCTTTCTAAGAGGCCAAACTATAGTAGCAAACTATGGAATTGTGCTTGTAGCATTAGATAGAACTTGTTTTTAGTTGTGCTGCTGCAAAAAATTATCAATACATAGATAAAATTAAAAAGCACCAGCGATGACGAGATTACTCATCACCCGCATTGAATGTGTTAATGTTAAAAATTAATGCTTTGTGGCTTGTCGAGAAGGAGTATAACTCTTTCAACTACAACCTCCAAGAACATCACACTGAAGAGTTTGAGCAGCTCAATAGTTTAAAATTTGCTGTACAAGCTCAATATTTACAGAAACTTTCTTTATTGTCATGAGAACTTTAGTTGAACAAAGAGGCACAACAATTAAAATAAACTTGTGTAGGTAAATTTGTAAAGTAGGTATATTAAAATAACCTATTTGGACAAAAATCATTTCACATACAGTATGAAAGTAAGAGGGGGGAAATGGTTAAAAAAGGGGGAGTTTTCAAAATTTGCAGGGGCCAAAATAGTAATACAGTATAAACAAAGATCTGTACTTTTTACTTCTGCCTGTCTTATATCTGATCTCAAGGTATATGTAACACTTGAGTGGAATAAATGCTGAAAAGAAACATTAGTCAATGGTTATTGACGGCAAACACTGAATAATAAACATCTGGCAACAATCTACACCCCAGTAGATAACTTAAGAAAAAAAAAGAGTAGAAAATAATATGAGGGCCAAAGAAACAATATCTTTATAAAAAAAGAGGCCCCATATTTCTTATTAAAAAGGTACTTACTTATATTTTTTTAAAAGATAGGCCTATCCCACTGAAAAAGAAAACAACTAAAATTAACATGTGAAAATAATAAAAAAAGTGGTAAAATACATAAAATAAAACACAGGGCAAAAAAAAAAAAAATTAAACGGGAAACGCAATTAAAAATACCCCCGCCACAGCAACCTGCAGAGAATATCAAATAAAAATCTCCTTTACAATGTCATGTCATTTTAATCTATAATTAAATAACATTAGTTCAAAAAGTAATTAGGTTTGCTACTACAGAGAAGTTAATGAAGTGGTTTTTTTTAGTGAAATGTTAATTGTTTATTATAAAACAAATATATTTTTCTAAATTTGATCAAAATATGTTAATAAACAAGCAAACTACAATTGTGTTAATCTCCATAAAATAACATGGGATTTTAATTTATTTTTATTTTCTCCCTAACCATCAAGCGCATAATGTTTTAATATACTAAGTTAGGTATATGTTTATTTATGCTCTACAGAATGGTTTAGAAATAAATGGCTAAATACTAGGTTTTTAGGTTAAAAAATGGTTAATCTTTTTTTATCTCACAAAACCTGCTAAAAAACCCCTGTTCCCATGGTATGATCATGCTGCTTCGCGAACACGTCAGAATAAATTTAGGTTTATATGTTTAAACCAAATTTAATCAAAATCAGACCATTTTTGTTCAAGTTATTGTGCTAAGGGTCATCTTCACAAGATCCAAAATCAGAAGATGCAAAATTAAGTTTATATTGCAGATCACAAAAAATATTATTAAAAAACAGGGGGTTTATAAAAGAAAGTCGGGATTTTAAACAGTTATGGCTCAGGGACTATTCAGGGAGAATTAAATGATTTTAACGTCAAATTGGAGGGAAAAGAACAACGGTTTTTCTCATAATTTTTTACAATTCGCAATAATTTAATAAAATTCTTTTTCATAAATCTTATATGAGCGTAAAACTGGCTAAGTCTGTACGCTTAGGGCGAGCGGCGGGTTTATCTTATGTCTTAACTGAATCTTTTTAGGCACAAAGACTATCTTTTACAGATAACAGCATGAAGTGTTGTTTAGATAAGTTCAACTCAAGACTTCGTCGGGCAATCGATTTTTTTGGCTTTTGATGCAGAATTTGCATTTCTTTGACTATGTCATCGCTTGTTTTTAGCCAACCAGGTGGATGTCTTTTCAAAACAATACGGTGCCAAGAAACTCATTAAATCAGCGTCATATTTCTTTATCATCAAATAGATTTTAATTTAGTTTAATTTAGCAATCGATATAAACTCTGTGAACCACAGATTACACTCTGTGCCTTCTGTTGCGCCGTAAACATTGCTCTGACGACTGGCGTCAGGCGTGTGAGACTAATACCAGCCTACCACCCCGCACAAGCTTTACGCATGCCAAGGTCAAAGTTTCCTCCCTTGCTACACGGGAAACAAAACTTAGTTGTCTTAGCTTCAATTTGACATTCTGTATTAAATGTTTAGTTATCTTGAATAGTATCCAAGCAATTAACATTTAAAATCCCGGCATTCTTTTATAAACACCCTGTATTGTTTTAATAGCTTAAACTTATTTAAAGGCTCATACTCAATATAATAATTATGATATTTTGGCTATTACTTTTTTCAAGTTCTATAACGTGTTAATACCAACGGTTTGATCTTTAAGTAGTTATTACCCATTAATTTTCAAAGGCCTGCCTGAAATGCTGGCTTCAAACCTCGGGAGATCTGAATGTTTAAGCTAAGCATAAATGTTTATGGGAGCGGACAATGCAAGTACATGGTTTCAGCATGATAGAAGTTGGCATGATGGTTGTGATGTTCAAAAGCAAAGTAATGCACAAAACACCAAAACATCAAATTAGCATGAAATACACAAACCCCCCCCCCCTCTCCCACAAAAAAACCAAACACCACCCTTCCCCCCATTGATAATTTATTTGTGTCAGTTAAGGGGTTGGAAAGTGTGTTCACATTAACGTGTATAGTTACCTGTGTCTGGAAGGACATTTGTCTCTTCTCCGCTTCTCTCTGCCTCTTTCCTCATCTGCAAAAACATATCTGGTTTATAATTTGATAGGGGGGACATGTTTATGTGGTGCTAAGTGAAACTCAAGACGGTTTTAGAAAATCCCATTCTACTAACTCTGCGCTCATCTCTCTAACAAACAATATTTACAGAGTATGGACAGGTCACAGACTACTAGCAATTTGTTGTGAGTTGTGACCTGTCAGATTGTGTAGACCATATTTTCCTATAAAAAAAATGTTGTATATGGAATCAAAGGGGACAGTTTGAAATGGTTTAGATCATATTTAACTAATAGAAAGCAAGACACATCATCATGGATAACATGGAATATGAATAACAATTTGATACTGTAAAGTCAGGAGTTCCTCAGGGATGAATTTTAGGTCCAGCTTTGTTTGTAATGTATGCTAATGACCTTCCAATGAATATAAGGGACAGAAATTGTAATGTTTCCAGATGATACTACAGCATTAATTATTAATATACTTAGGCCTATATATAATTCAGTTTAAAAATCTTTGTATAACTAAATCTAGAATTCTACTTGGCCGATTTTATTAATTTGTGTAGATTAGCAAATGATTATGAAAGTTTGTTTTTGTTATGATTTATGGTGGATAATTTTAAAAAACATGTTTTTCATGAGAAATACATTGAAAACGGTGTTTTTCACACTTTTTAACACTAGAAACCAAAATTTACTTATACAGGGTGATTGATATTAGTGTGCCAGCTGTTTTATTAGAAAACTATAAGAGAGCGAATTTCAACTTGTCTGATTACATTTTTACTAAAATATTTCCTGAAATAAGACATATTTATTCCCAATTATGATAACATTAGATTTAAGGAGTGCTTAGGTTTGCTGCTACGGGGAAGGTAAAAAGTGTTTTTTGACTACTGTATATGTCAATAGTATGGGATGAAATAAATAAATTTGCCAAATTTTATCATATCCATAAACAAGTAAACTACAACAGTTTTCATTTCCTCCATAAGAATAACATGGGAATTTTATATTACACTTTTTAAAAATTTTCTCCGTGACCGTCAAGCATACAACAACGCTTCAATATACTAAATTATTTCATTTTTTAAGCTCTACACAAAATGGTTTAGAAAGAAATTGCAAAATCTATTGTTTTTAGGGTCAAAAATGAGAAAAACCCATTTTCACCCCATAAAACCCCCCATAAACACCTGATCCCATGGTCCGATTATGCTGGTTCGTGAACTCATTTGAATAAATGTAGGTTTACATGTTTGTACCAAATTTCATCAAAATCGGAACATTTTTGCTTGAGTTATCGCGCTAACGGACACATATATATTTACGAATTTGAACGGATCCCTCTGGGGACCTAAAAATGAAAAAGTAAATCGGTCCCGGGTCTAGATCTTACCATGAGACCTACGGTAATAGCTTCTTCCCTATATGGGAAATTCGATAAAAGTTAAATGGTACATGCCTTTGATTTTTTATTTAAAAAATTGGAGTCAAGTCGAAAAAAATATTTTAGCCGCCATGTTTCCAATATGGCCGTCAACTTTGATTTTTTCTTACTGAACACCCTGCATTTTATGATGTATTCCGGTAGAAAATGTAATTTAAAGACAATTTTACTCTTGTTTTTTTTTTTTTCATAAACCTAACCTTTTCAAAGATAATAATGGTTAAAGTTGTGAAATTTCAAATAGTTTTCAAATAAAACAGCTGCATGCTTGCTTAGGCCTTTATCAAAACTCTTTCTCATGCCAAAATTTCAAAACGAACCATTATTATCTTTGAAAAGGTAAGGTTTATGAAAAAAAACAGAAGAGTAAAATTGTCTTAAAATTACAATTTCTACCGGAATACATCATAAAATACAGGGTGTTCCATAAGAAAAATCAAAGTTGGCGGCCATATTGGAAAAATAGCGGTTAAAATATTTTTTTCAACTTGACTACAATTTTTAAAATAAAAAATCCAAGGCACTTACCATTTAACTTTTTTTGATATCTCTTATAGTTTTCGAATAAAACAGCTGGCACACTTATATCAATCACCCTGTATACTTCATCATTCCACAACAACTTTAGAAAAGAGTATTCACTATATGAGAATCAAATCAAATTGAAATGAGCTCTTTATTATATTTGTTAAAACAAAGTATTTAATAGAGCTAAAGTTATGTGGAGGATAATAAGTGATAGTATATTGAAAAAATATTGTTTCCATTGAAACTATTATTTTACAGAACTTCGAAGTAGTAAGTTTGGATAACTTCAATTGATTAATAATTATATCAAGCTCTGGAGAGCGACAGGATGGAGTCCTCAAAATAAAACAGAAGAGAAACAGAAAACAAACTGAAAAAAGGACAATACATTGGTCCAAGAATCTTAAATAACTTACCAAGAAGTTTAATTGCTCTGGAAAATCCTTTTAAGTCTAGACTTCTTTAAAAAAAATAGCTCAAGAATAAATCTTTTTTTTTCATTGGCAGATTATTTGGAGGACTGCTGGAATTAGTATGAATAAACCTAACCGCTCCTTCTAGTTCATTTTTTGTAGGGAAGGATCTTTTTCTACGAGACGAGATTTGATTTTGACCCAGTTTTTTTAAAGGCAAGATAAAAAGAAAGTCAATGGAATACCCGCAATACAAGAGCGTGTTGTTTTACAAGACTAAAAAATTGTTAGTTAACTAGTAAAACAGATGTTTTATACTGATATATCTAGTATTTTTCAAAGTTCTACTATTGTAATTTAATACTTAACTAGTAACACTGATGTGTCAGACAAAAATTTTGTATTAATCAAAGTTGAACTAAATCCCAACTGATATCATCATGTTTCCTATGCGTAATAGTTATTTTAAATAAGGTAGTCATAAATTATATTTGTTTTCTTATACTGATGATTTTTATTAAAAGATTTTAAATACCCTTGCCTATTATTATTTTTGAATTTAACCAGTCATCTGTCATAAATCAGTAGGTATTTAACAATGCAACAAAATCAGGTTAAAATGGCGAACATGCATTTTCTGATATGTTTGAGAAGTGAAATCTTGTCTCGATCTAGTCTTGAAATGTTATGAGAAATAAAAAATCCCATCTCGTCTCGAACTAAAAATTTGATTTCCATCCCTAACTTTTTGTTATGTAAAATATTACATTTGGGGAAGATTCACTTGTTTTTGTGTAGAAATATATGTATTAGTTTTGTCTATTAGTTTAAGTCTATGATTTAAAAATTGGCAATATGCCCTGTTATTATGATGTACTGACATGAAATCCAATAATTAAATAAAATAAATAAAAGAAATTGATTGTAACAAGAAATTAGGTACCTGAGGTGTAATTAGTTGTCTCCTGACTTGATGGAGATGTCTCAACTACTGTGGTTGTGCTGATGCCCTGAGGAGGCGGAGTGGTAGACTGAGATGATGAAGATACAGTCTCAGTTGATCTACGACGCTTACGGCTTTCCTCAGTCTTGTTCGGTTCAGCAGACATAAGGCTCTGCTGTCTTGATAACACTCTATCAACCTGATTAAAAATTTCCCATAAAATTAGTGAAACCTATACCTAACGTACCAATAAACGTGCATATGTGCAGGTTTATTAATCAGCGTGTCCACCAGGCCAACCAGAAAATATTCATGAGTAATTCCAGGTAGTTCAGGTCGTACTTTTCATACTAAACTTTCCAACGTGTTTTTGCGCCAACTCCCACAATGCTGTTTTAGTGCTAACACAGTTCGCTATTTTAGTTATCGGAAAAAGCATTCTCAGTTCAAGAAACAAAAGTTATGATTACTATAATATTGCCTGACACAAGTATGCAATTTTTAGGTTTACTAGATCATGTACGGATTAAAACCCATAAAAGATAATTGAAACGTTTTGTTTTTTAAGTGTTTATTAAAGTATGCTGTATGTTTGATCTGAAGAATGGGTTTTGTTTAGTTAAAACAACTAATAATTCTACAACATTTTTACATTTGTAATGTTTTAACTAGGTTTTTTGTAGAAAATAAAAACAAAATCATTTAAATATGTTCTAAAAGGATTTCCTTCAAATCCACCCTGCAGATTATAGAATTCAACAAGCTGGACAAAATAAACAAAAAACATCTCTCTACCTCTTCTAGAAGCTGAGCTGCGTAATATCTAGGTAAAAATTACATCTTTCGGGAATCCACAGAATTAGCTGACCTTTGTTTGGAAGCAGCTTTGGCCCCCGCTCTTCCAAAATAAATAAACAGCCAATATAATACCATTAAACAATTGAATATAGTTTTTCTGTATGGATTAACTAGGTTATAGGGAGATGAAATAACTATTTTTTAGTGAAATTGGATTACTGAATTACATTATAATCCCCATAACTTAATCCCATAAATTTATTACTGAAAAAAGAAAGCATAGTTAATATTAATTCTAATTTTCTGGCCAATGTATATATATATATGTACCCTACTCCAATATAATACAGTTACTCCAAGAAAAATAAATATCCAGTTCCATATTGAGAAAATGTGCACCACCACTAAGTGTATCAACTGGTCCTGAAATATGTTTTGGAACTATACCCTTATTTTAACTGAGCAGCAAGGTCTAAGTTTGAGGTATGATCTGTATGGCCCCCATCAAGGTGTAAACCTTGGGACAAAACCACTTGGGAACAAAACAAGTGCTATTATAGTTCGGCCGCTTAGAAAGCGACCTGCGCGTTAATGCTAACCAATGCTAGAGCAGGTCGCTTTCGCTTTCTAAGCGGCCAAACGATAAGCTGATTTATATACAGCTGTATGTATGAATAGAAGGATAATGTTCGATTGTTTATATTAGGGATGGGTCGGTTCTAGAAATGATCAATTCTAATTCTAATTTCTACAAATTGATTCTCAATTCAGATTCCATTTCAATTCTTATTCTAATTTTACAAATTGATTCTCAATTCAGATTCCATTATGTTATAGTTATAAGCATTTCATGCGGTCATGTAAACATTGCCATTGTCTCCCGCGGTAACGGCAAAACCTTAAATAACCCCCGCAATCCCGCGGTCAAGGAAATATCATCCTAGTTTTGCGCAATAGCGGCATTAGGGGTGTTTTTTTATAGGAATTTCTCCTACCATCACACACAGATCATTGAGACCAGATGGTTATCGGTATCAGAATCAACTTTGAGCAGTCGATTCCAGATTTTGATTCCAAAGCCGAGAATCGGTGGAAACGAGAATCAACTTTTGGAATTGACCCATTAGCAGTTTTTATCAACCATTGGGAATAGACTGAATCAGATGCACACATTTAAATTTCAAACAATCATACATACCCAGTTTTCCAATTCTTCATTTGCATATATGTCTATATATTCAGAAATTCTCTCCCATTCAATATTGTGAACTTTATTGATGTGTTTCATGAGCCTACTTCGCATTGTGCTGCCTGTCTTGCATATTTTACACCTAATTCTGAAAAAAATGTGATTGAAAATATTTTTAAAAAATTCTGGCGCATAATTTTACAGTAAAAATATTTTTTACACAAATGACAATTTTGCTGGTTCTATTTTTTGGAGAAAAGTTATTCTGAATAGAAGTTGTAAACTGAGACACTTTATTCAGCCCATAACTTTTACAAAAAAGGCAATTTTATATTTAATTTTGTTTGAGGAAAGGCTCTAGGCCAGGATTTTAAATGGTAGTAAAAGGATAATATCAGCTAGCTTACCTTGAAAGTGTGGGTAGGCCATAGAACAAGTAGAAAAACATTTTGCACACAATATTTCGTCCCCTAAGGGACTTTGTCAAGTGTAGAGAGAGTTTATAAATTAAATTTATAAACTCTCTCTACACTTGACAAAGTCCCTTAGGGGACGAAATATTGTGTGCAAAATGTTTTTCTACTTGTTCTATGGCCTACCCACACTTTCAAGGTAAGCTAGCTGCTATCCTCCTTTTTCTACGAATTTTATATTTAAGTCAGAGCTTATGATTAAGAGATACATTCCAGAAACATTTAAGACAAAAAGTGTTTGCCAAGTTATTTTTATTTAAAAAAGCCAACTAGCTTATCAAGAGTTGTTTTTGAAAGGGATAAGAGAAGCTAGCTGAACTGAGAATATTAGAGGCCAATAGATACACAATATTAGTAAATTAGGCTAATAGATAGATACACAAATGTGTAACACTGATATTCAATAATTTAGTCCTAATATCCCTTGTCAACAAATGCAAGGATAATCTAACCTAACCTATTTTGCAATGCAGAATAGTCATCACCTTTACTAATACATTATATTAACTTCATAGTTAAGATGTAGTAACTTTAACTCTTTGAGATCAAATTGTGTACATTTAAGAAAATTATTTTATTAAATGTTAAAGCGTACAAACTTAAAAAGGAATAATAACTTACGGACTGTAGTCTAAATCTTTAAACAGGTGTTCCTTCATTTCTTGTCGGTTTTTGCAACTATACGATGTTGAACATCTCGGACACATAAAGCTAGTACCGAGCGGGGTTCCAAAATGACCAAATTTAAGTTCTAAAAGGTCCAAGCCGTCAATGCCAGTTGTGGCTGTCACTACTGGTGGAGGGGCGTCTCCCCTCTCGTCCAATATGATGCCACGGATTAACTTCAGACGTTTGGCATCTCTTTTCCACAATGGAGGGATTGGAGGCAATGCAGGTCTTTTCATTTCGGTAACCTGTAAAAAAATATTCAATTAAAATGAAAATCTCAAAGAAATGCTCATTTTCATAAAATTCTTTGTAATAGCCCTGTAACTGCATATAAACTAGTATGGGTTTGCAAGACATAAAACTAATGAAAGGTCTCATAAAAACTAGGGATGAAAAGTCTATAAATTTCGGGAAATTTTTAATCTCGTTATACGAGACGAGATTTCTTTTTGATCATGTTTTTTAGAGACGAGAATAAAAAAAAAAAATAAATTGTCTACAGAAAGTCAATGCAATACTCGCAATACAGGTGCGTGTGGTAATTGCGTTTCCTTTGCAAAGGCGTTCTTATTTAATTAATTCTTTACATGTATATATTTATTTAATTATTTTATCATTTGAGAAGTTTAGTTGAGTGTAAGCAGTATGAGGCATGTTTTACTACTATAGCCTAAACAAAGCCAAAAACAAGTAACTATTTTATGCAAATTAATATTGCTTTTATTTTATGATTTAGACTCCTCTAAAAAGAGGCAACTTTAAATCAGCAGCAAGTTTTATATTATATCCAAACTACTTAATGGTTTTTCTGGAAGTCTTTCAATTATTTCCTATGAGTACATTTTTTTTACTTTTACTACCAGATCCGGTATAAGGTCTCAAATAGAGCCGCTTACAACTTTTATTTTTCCTCTTGCAGGCACATTTAGGATTTTTTTCTTTTTCCCAAATGGTTTTTTCTTTCTTATTTGTTTTTTAATTTTTGAAGTCTGCCCTTTTCCCCAACCAAATTTTGCTTTAGTTTTCATTATGTTAGTAACTGCCCAGGCGGCAGCTCTCTCGCCAATACTAGAGTCTGAAGCTTTTACCCTTTCCCAAGCTGTCAGCCACTGATCTAATTTTACTATCCTTCGATCTTGAGTATGCTATAATGTGGTTTTTGCATGCAGCATCCAATTTATTTATGCCTGGATCACCTCTTGCTATCTCTTCCTTAAATTCGTTCCAGGTCCACAGTACTGATAGCCCGGTATGTGAACTTATGCAGGTAAAATACCCTGTGTCTGTGTACAAGAAGATTATCTGTGTCCACACAGGGTGAATAAAAAGTCATCTAATATTTTTCTTTGTTAGAACACAGATAGTCTTCTTGTACACAGACGCAGGGTATTTTACCTGTAGAACTTCACATATCCGGCTATCAGTACTGTGAACCTGGAACGAATTTAAGGAAGAGATTAGCAAGAAGTGATCCAAGTATAAAAAAATTAGATGCTGCATACACGATATACCATACTCAAGATCGAAGGATAGTAAAATATACAGATACCTTTTTGGTGGTCATGCAAACTTAACACCATGTTTCATTTTATGATTTTGAAAATGTTTAGTGTCCCCAAAAATGAGGGAGTTTGGGGTTGACTGGAGATAATTCTATATATAAGATATATTAACCTTTAAACATTACCAATTTCATTTTAAACAGTATGATTTAAATTGGCATCCTGTTAATATTAAGTTTTACTTAGACACAGATAGTTTTCTTGAACACAGACACAGATAGTCTTCTTGTACAGAGACACAGATAGTCTTGTACATGGATACAGAAGGCTTTGTGTTATTAAAAAAATCGGGGGAAATCGGATCCATCAAAACAGGATCCAGCCCAAGATCCAGATTTTTTTTATACGATCGGGCGCCGGTTCAAGCTCGAATCCGGCAGATCCGGTAGTCTGATATCCGGATCCAACCATCACTAAATGTACGCTACTATCCATTTTTATAGTAATGTCTATGTATTAAAATAAAAATATTGGTTTAAATACAATTCTGAGAAGAAAATGGAAATAATAATAATAGCCCCGTACCGATTTTGTACCGAGAACCGAGGTACAAAATATTGTAAATACAGTTAGGCCTAGTTTAAAAAGAGTGCAAAAAGCAACATACGTCAGTTAGTAACTAATATTAGTAGGTTACCTTTTTGTATAATGATATAATGTGGCTCTCTTCATCAGGATGATACGTCTTGCAATGATCTATGGGTTCATTAACGCACTCATACCCACAAAGAGAGCACTTAAACGGCTTTGCCATTTTATGCTCTGATATTCCATGTTGAAGAATGACCTTTTTCTTCTTGGTTTTGAATGTACAAAGATTGCAGGAGAATGAATCCACTCCTAAAAATTTAAATCATAATTTAATTTGGGAATGTGGAATCATAATAATATTAACCAAAAACAATTGTTACTTACCAGGGAGTCCAGCATCCAACCAAAATAAAATTCAAGGGCAATACCAGGTTTTCCAGGTTCAAAATAAAAACAAGGCTTGCCACTTAAAAGAACTAACAGAACTTGTTTATTTATACCTTTTAGTACAGTAAAAACCTTTCATAGAATAAAAAATTAAAATGTCCTGCTAATTCCAGTTTGCAGTTCAGCTAGACACTCTGCTTAAACTAACAACATCCTTAGACCTAGGAGTCATCATGCAATGGTAAACAAGATCTCTTTAAACCTCAATGACCTTAGAAATTAACAGGGTTGTCAGCAGAATCTATAAACAAAATTCACACATTATTCCCGGTTTTCCCGGCTAAAAAGTACGAAATTCCCAGCGACTAATATAGGCTACTTAAAAGATAGGACCAATCAAAGTTGTAAAAACAATAAAAATAACGGATATTGATAAATAATTAAAAACCCACATACGTTTATTAAGGAAAATTAGCCTAACTCTTAATATTCACTCGTCAAACACTGCAAATTAAGGTTAAAAATAAAAATAAACATTAATGAGTTACTTGTACTACTGGACTAGGCCTCTTGAAGCAGTTTTGAACTGCCAAACGTTACGATTTTCGCGTTATATTTGCCAATAGTTACTTATGACTAACTGTAAACCGGTAAAAAACAAAAAAACCAATAATTATTACAATTAAAATTATGTATTTTCCAAAATTAACTAAACTAAAACATCAATTCAATCCACATTCGAGCCTCGATTGGGAATCGTATTGTCATCACTTAAATCGTCGTGTCGTCTGTCTAGTGTCTACACTCTACAGTACAGTTCCGCCATTGCTTGCCACTCAAATGCACAACACAAACGCAGACAAATACTTATTGCGGTCACGGTTAAGTCAATACCGGCATCTGGCAATGACGGCAATAGTTGCGCATTGAACTAGAGCTACAACGCAACTGAAGGAATCACAAAATAATTAGGTTTTAAATTAGTAAAGAAAAGTAAAAAAAAAAAATAAAGGAACACATATCTTTACATTAAACATCTAGCCTGGAGTAAACAAGACATTTTTATACAAACAGGAGGTTTTTACGTCAAGTAGTTTACTAGTAACACCCGATTCCGTAAACACTTGCATAATTCCAACATGGCCAACTTATATTTAAAAATGGTGGAAAAGTCCACATGTGGTTTTCTGGGACTTTCTTCTGTGGGTTCAGGAGACCTTAAAACATTATTTCCAACAGGTTTCAACTTTTTTTTTATTTCCTTACTCAAATGCTAATTGCACTGGACTATTAAACTAAGTGGGCATGTGAGGGCCCAAAAAAGTGATCTAGGACATAGTTCACATCAGAGAAGAAACAATAAGAACTTATTAAGTTTAAGAGAAGGATGAAGGCAGTAAGTTTTATGCAGACATTAAAGCATACAAAGAGGTTAAAAATATTGTAATTGGATGACACATTACAAGGTCCTCGTTTTATAAAAATAATCAAGCCACAAAAAACCTGTAGACAAAGCGAATTTCTATTTGTCGGATTTACTAAAATATTCCCTTAAACATTTCAGATTAATTCCCAATTAATAAAATTAAGTTTAACAAGTACCTAGGTTTATTGCAACAGGGAAGGAAAAAGTATCTACCCTAGCGGGAATTCGCAAATAAAACAAACAATAGTGATAGACCTGAAAATGAACAGCAAAGCTCTAAGCTGAACAGCGGAACGCTGATGTTTTTGAATTGATAAAAATAAAAATACATTTTCAAAAGTAAGACTATCGTCTAATTTAAATACTTTAAACCATACATAAAAATATGTATGTATGAAGGCATCTCGATACTTGAGGAGAATACAGTGAGTAATTTACCTTGTTCGTCAGATGTGTCGATGTTGTGAAGTTTTGGTCCAGCTTTGTTGACAATGTGATCCGGTTTGAACAATCGGACGACCTGCACCTCTACTTGCTCCCCTGAGTGGGCCACTTCCGTATGCCGTTCTATTGATCTCCTATTTATGCAGCAAAGTTTAAATACAATAAATTGACTTTATGTAATGGTACAAGAACATCCATACCAAGATCATGTTTAAGAACAGTGTTTCTGATTTAATAGAACCATGTGTTAACACATTAATATATGTGTATGTTTGGGAAAATAGTTGAGTTAAGAATAAAATCAATTGTAAGTTAACTAGTAGGTTAATTAAAGTACAGGGTATCAAAAAAAAGAATACCGGGATTTTCTAAGGCCATTTCTTGGGTAGGCCTACTATTAAAGATGATTTAACAATTTAGACGTCAAATTGAAGGGAAAAGAAAAAACTAACATTTTTCCATACTTTGATAAAATTCAGAAAAATTTCATGAAATTCGGATGGTTATTTATCTTATATGAGCATAAAACTGGCAAATTCAATCTTTTACGAATAACATCGTAGAGTGTTGAATTGGGTATGATTAACTGAAGAATTCGTCGGGGAATTGATTTTTTTCACGCTTCTAATGTAGGATTGTCGGATTTCTTTGACTTTGTCATAACTTGTTTTTAGCCGGCCAGGAGAATGTCCTTTCAAAACACTTCCTGTGCCACGAAATTGTTAAAACCTGTGATGAATTGCTTTGTCATCAGGTCAATTTTAATTAAATTATAAAAAATTTTCTACACCCTGCAAACCGCAGATCACGTTGCGCCATAAACATCGTAGTACTGGCAACTGGCATCAGGCATGTCAATCACAACGACGGCCTGCCACACCACGCACCTGTTTTACGCTTACCAAGGTTTAGATTTCCCCCCCTTGCTACATGGGAAACAAAACTCAGTTTTAAATTTTGAAGATATTACCCAATCAATGACCGTTAGAAATCTTGGTATTCTTTTTCGGATACCCTGTGTATCTTGCCTAGAAATTGATTACAATAAATCTGACTAGTCGTCAAATGTTAAGCTCATGTTTTTCCAATTGTTAATAAGGTCCTCTTCAAAAGGCGGTTTAAATATATTCTGTCATTGTGTAGGCAGTATAGTAATGCTTCCCTTGCTCATTGGTCCTTATTTGTACCTATGGGCCATGGCATTTTTTGGACACAAAGTACAGATGTAGACTTGGAGAGATATGCTTGTTCCAAGTTTGGAAGTGGATGAGTTAAAAGTTACCCATCTTTTCCTGACCAGCTTATCCATTCCTACCTTCCGTTATTACTTAAGTACGCTTTTTTGGCAGATGTACAATATTTCAACCTGACATTAAAACTCTATCCTGTTTGGAACCCATTAGAATAAAAACCATGTATGGATAATAAATGTCAAGGAATCAGCATCAGAGTAAGAATCAATTCATACCAGATCTCCCGATGGCTGAAGAGTTATTTTAAGACTAGTGGCCACAAAGAACAACCATGACAAGTTATGAAATCAGGGAAACATAACAAAAATCTCCCACCCAATCAACACAGATGACATTTCTCAGGTTTTGTGTTTATGTAGATATTAAATAAGTCATATGTTTAACCTCTCATTGTAAAACTTTCATGATACAAATTATCAGGATACTCACCTAATGTGACTGCAGAATTCACAGTTAGAACACTTGTAGACAGGAGAGTCATGCAGTTTAAGGTGCATGCTGAGATGATCTATGGGAAAAGCTGCTGCTTCAACCTTGTCTACGCAGTGGGGACAACTAAAAATGAAGTATGGAATTGTTTAATAACATTATACTACTTTACTTTTTTGCAAGTCAAATTTGTAAGTAAAGCAGTAGAGCTAATTGAAATTCAAATTATCTTTATTTATAGCATGTACAAAACGTACAATAAGCTACATAAGGCAACATTGTTTTAGAGGTAATCTGGTGAAAGTGGGGGAATTCAATGGCTCATTTGGTCAAAGCATCACTCTTTTGACTGTCAACCTCTGTTATCCATCAACTCAAAAATACATTCATTTTTTTCTGTGGTTTTTTGGTGAAGCAGTTTTTAAATAAATAAATAAATAAAAAGGCCTTTATTTACGAGCGAGTTTCATAATACATGGTTTTCAAACTAACTCAAGTCACTAAATCTAAACTATCCTAATATATTTAGGCCTACATAAGTATATACAAACAAATTACAACAGAATAATTACAATATACATTTTACATTTGTTTTTTTCATTGCGGCCCTGAATGTGTTGTACGATTTCGAACACTTGATATCTTGAGGGAGGCCATTGTACAACTGCAGGCCGAAATAAGAAAAAGACTTTCTTCCAGCCCCAAGCCTCACTTTAGGAAAGTGAAGCCTGCGGTCGGAGCGAGTACTACGCAGACAGATCTCCCTCCTGTACTTAAGCCTCTCGCTGAGGTAATGAGGCTCTCCCAGCGTGAGCACTTTGTGGTACCAGGCAGCAGGTCAGCTTTCTGCACATGTCATCCATTGGGATGAGCTTAGCAGCATCTCTGTAGGAGGACACGTGGACAAAGCGACTAAGGCCAAAAATGAACCTTATGGCAGAATTTTGAATTCTCTGAACTCTTGCCATATCCTCCTTAGAGATGCTGTTTCCATATGCAGGAAAGCAATATGTGAAGGCTGGAAGGACCAAGGACCGCATGAGTTGCGTTTTGGCAAATTCTGGCAGGAGAGTTTTGAATCTGCTAAGACCTGTCAATCTTCCCACTGCACGTTGGACTGCAGATGTGACGTGGTCAGAAAAAAAGAGGTCTTTGTCAAGTACAACACCAAGCGTGTTGACAGTGTCACAGACAGACAATCCCATGCCATCAAGGGTGACTTTAATGTCAGATTTTCTCAACATTGAAAAATGCTGTGCAAATCAGCGTTGATGAGTTCAATTGCTGCGGATGTCATGTCTGGCTTGTATGACAAGTGTAATTGACAGTCATCAGCATACAAGTGTGCTGTACAATATTTTACACTTCTGGGCAAGTCAGACGTGTATAAATTGAACAGCACAGGGCCTAAACAACTACCTTGAGGAACACCTCGCAATTTGCAAAGCGGATCTGATGTCCCACTCCCAATTTTGGTAACCTGCAGTCGGGACTCCAAATAAATTTAAGTTGCAGACCTTATATTCGGACGCAATCAATTTATATGGCAAGGCAATGTCTCAGAGCAGACCTTGTATGTTGATGTAATAAATTTATATGGCAAGACAATGTCTCAGTGAATGCCTTATAATAGTGATATAATGTCCAAAATACATAGTCTATCCGAAAAAGTTGGATATTTAATGCATAGTGTTGTATATCAAATTTCGGTCGGGGGGGGAACCGAATGCGACCCGATTTTTCAGATATCCGCACACCTCTAGTATTTACATCTCTATTTTTCATTAGCAATAAAAAAATAACAAGTATCATTTGACTGATTTGTTTGGAGATGATGTGTAAAAAATAATATGATAGTGATTTTTTAGGTAAAATAACAAAATACAATTTTGTTTTGATAAATTAATAATATAATTGATGTATTTGCAGTCCATTTCAAGTTGTATTTAATCAAATATGATAGTAACATGAAGTGAAATCACGCCCCCTCAGTGGTTTGGCGTTTTAGGGCAAGTTTACAACAATATGCAGAAGTAGGATGTCGACTGAAACAGGGGCGGCTCCAGGAAAAATGTTTTGGGTAGGCCTGACTAGGATCAAGGAGTTTGATTGAGGGACAAGAGGTTTGAGGGGCTTTCCCACAAAAAGGGGAAATTTTAAAATTGAAATGCATAATATTTCCCTTTATTAACTTATAGTTAAATGTCTTTATTTATTTATAATTTTGAAATATCTACCAACATTTTGGGTAGGCCCAGGCCTATCTGGCCTGCCCTCTAGAGCCGCCCGGATTGAAATGGATAAAATAAATATAAATTAGAAAAACAATCAACTTCCTTTCTTTCTCTGATCAATTGGGTCCTAGAGGGGTATTGACAATTGAGTCAAACAGATGTATTTTTTATTTTTATGAGTTAATAACAGAAAAGATATAATTAAAATCCTTAATAAATTAATAAATGACAAATCAAGTAATAAAAAAAGTCTATGTATAATAGTAATAACTGAAATTTACAGCTAAAATTAAGTGGGCACGTCAGAGGGATATGAAAATTGCCATCACAGACTAAGGAAAACTAGTCTTTGCCGCCAGTATGGATGGAAGGCGGTGACACACTTCCTACACATTGTTCATTCTCTACTTTCTGTTTGATATTGTACATTCTCTGTTCGATATTCTCTCTCAGTATGTCTACCGTTAAAAGTTTTCTATCAATCATTTTAATGTGACTAAACTGGTTAGGCCTACAACATTGTTGTGGTTCAACACTTCACAGGACAAGCATAGGATAAGTCATTGTAGCCTAGATATTGGTCTGATTTTGGAGTACGATTTTACTATGTAAATTCTGATTTGTGTCAATTTGATGTGTGTTATAAATTCTACTATCGTAGCTTATTAAACGTGTAAAAGTGTTAATTGTGTTATTTATTTCCATATGAATTCTATAGGCCTAGTACGAAACACACAGGTTGTACAATGAGTCAAGTCTAACTTCAAAATAAGACTCAAGAACCCCCTGTATTAGAATCTCATTCTCGTTCCAATAAATATTTAACTAAACTGACATTTAATAGACAAAGAACCGTAACACATGCACAATTCTTGTGCACACTATTTTATTTCTTTCCAAAATAATTGTTAATTTTAAACTGAAGTCATTGATAAAGGAATTTAATTTCTGTTGTCCGACTATTGAGTTAACCGCCAAGGTTTCAGTTTTACGTGTGATGTGCATTTAAACTTACGTTATGTAAACTAAATTCTCTCACTACAACAATAAATGTGGTATTGTATAGTAAAGTTATGTGCAAAAATACATACACATAGTGAGTCTCATCCTTGTGAATGACGGAGATGTGGTCCCTCAACATGGTTTCACTCAATGTGCGATAGCCACACTCTTTTACGTGGCATTTGTAACGGTCTTGGTCGGGGACATACTTGTAGAGGCACTCTACAGCCGTTTCATCTTGGCTACTCTCTAGCCCAGGTTTCTGAAATATTAAATTGTTACAATCGAATTGGTGTTTTAGCAAATTATAAGTTTCCTTTCAATATTCCAGCATAAGACTTAACATTGAGAATTGGTCTCCCAAACATATAAAATGTCATCATGTGATTTATAATTTAATACTGTTAAGTATGTAGTTTTTTTAAGAAATTGAAAAAGGAGTAAGTTACATAAAAATTTTATAAAATGTATCAATAGGCATTTAAAAACATAATCGTCAAACACAATTCCTTAAAAGCTACAGAAATAAAAAAAATTGAATGACAGAATGATTCTTAAAGATCGTATAGGACTACAAAAAAGTGATGGAAAATAAATGTATTAGTACTTTAAACAACACCCTCACCATAACAAAAATGTAACTTAAAACAAAGTAAATAAGATGTTTTTGAATAATTCAGTCAGGGTGCTACCCAGGACGAATTCCATCCAGGTAGCATTCAGGATTTTCTGAATCATCTCGATCTAGTCTCAAACTAAAAATCCAATCTTGTCCACCCCTACTTGTTATTGAGGAGTTTGTATTTGTAATAGGAAGGGGTCAAAATAAGTGAAGGGGAAGTGTTTGACAATGTTGTGTGAGTAGGCTGGTAGTGTTGTTATACATTAACATGTTGTACTGACCTACTGAAGGCTTTTGCTTTAAGTAGACCAGTGCACTTGATCTGGTTTTTTGATGGAGTTGTGAGTTAGTGTACTGGAGGACAGGGTCCTGCTGGGGGAGCTGAAGCCCAAGGCCAAGACAATATTAAGGGTTTTCAAAATTGGCGTTTCAGTTTTTAACTAAATGAATCTATACATTTCCAGTCTATTCTACCTTTTCGTTTGTTACTTATTTTTGAGTTCTTTGTTTTGTTTCGAGTAATATATAAGTTGGGTTTTGTAAGCGAGTGCTGAGTTTTATTCCTGAGCTACGTCACTTAAAGTAACAGTGGGTACCTTAAGTAATGAAGGTACCTACTAAAATCATCAGGGTTGCACTATGCATAAAAAATATTACAATTACCTTTTTATGAGAGCTGCCAGCAAGATTCATCATCTTATCAAACATCTTCTCTGTCTTCTCAGGTACTGGATTGACAAACTCCTCTTGTGTAACCAATTCACCTGACAAATGTAACTGAATGTGACGTATCAAGTTGCTCCTAACCTTCGTTTCATAGGAACACTGGGTGCAGCCGAGTGCATTTAGGAAAATAGCAGCTTTGGGCACTTTGTCTAGATCTTGAGGCGAAAACTTGGTTTTGGACTCTACTTTGGGTTTAGACTTGGGTCCTGGTTTTTTCCCCGGTCTTCGTTTTTCCTATAAAACATTTGGTAGTTTAAAAGACTCAGGGATGAACTCTTAGCATTTCATAGTTCAAATACTGATAATGAAAAACTCACAGGTATTGAACTAACTTTTATTTACAACATAAAACAGTTAAATAAGATGATTATTAATTAATTGTTGAGTGAGTTTTTTTTATAAAAATCTACAAAGGTTTGTCAGAGAAATAATTGACTACAAATAATAACATCTACAAAGTTATTAAAAAATGAAATTGTCTTTTGAACGAAAGACACATTAAAGTTGAAATGTGACACTTGATGTGGCAGTTGTTAGAACTAACTATATAATATAACCAGAAAATAAAACCTTTTGTGGAGATTCTGATATTAAAAAGTTTATAGTATGATAAAGTGGCATAAGTAACCTCTAACTTGTGGTTAAAGCATTAAATTTATATTAAATAAATTTAATTAGCACCCAATTTTTTAGTTTCATTTGGTAAATATGTCAATTATTTTTCATGATCAAAGTTTGTGTGCTGAACTAATAATACATTCCAAAGGTGACTTACCTTGCCATGAACAACAAAAAGGTCCTGTTCAGGGTCTGTTTTCTCTCGGTCAACCGGTAAAACAGTGGTCGTCAAGAAGTGATGAATTGTTTTCATATGGTAGTTGACTTTGGCCAACCTCGACTCGTATTTGCACAGGGCGCATGAGTAAAGGTTGGGTCCATGGATTAAGAGATGATCGATGTATTTGGCTGTGTGCTTGAACTCTTTGCGACAATAAGTGCAGATCAATTTTGGAGATGACCTGGACAGCTCACAAAACATCAAATGTTCTCTTAAAGGTCTTGAGTTTGTTGTTTCATAGTCACATCCTGAAAAAAAATTATATTATTTGTTACCACTAGGGATGGACGGGTCCCGAAATTTCGGGAAATTTTCGGGAAAAAAACATTCCAGATTTTCGGGACGGATTACATTTGATTCAAAATTTTTTGGGACCGGATTTGATCCGATCATCGGCGATTTTGCCGCTTCGCGAGTGACGATGACACCGCTATCTTGAGAGATGTTCACGGTAGTTCCGCGAACGCAGGAGGCGAAGTCATTTTGACGATCGCACCGTGACCGCAAGTCATATATTAATTACTTTATTCATTACATCATTTTGCAGTACATAGTGTCATATACAGGATAATACAAAAACTAAGAAATAACAAAAATGTCTTACTAAATTATTTATTTAACGTCTCTATTTAAATAACATTCGATAGGGAAACAAATTTTTGTTTTTAACCAGGTCTTCAGGGCATATTTCGACGATCACATTAGGCGCTGTGACCACGGAGTCATACTGACGATTGCGCTATGACCGCGGAGTCATACTGACAATCACGCTGTGACCGCGGAGTCATACCGACGATCACGCCGAGACCGCGGAGTCATACTGACGATCACGCTGTGACCGCGGAGTCATACCGGCGATCGCGTCGTGACCACGGAGTCATACCGACCGCCGCGATTCACAAGTTTTTATGCCTGTAAATTTTTACCTTTTTTGGTTTTGATAGATTAGTGCCACAAATGGTACAAATTGATTATGTTTGTCTTTTTTGGTAACTGTAATACTCAAGACTTTCTTTTTATGCACAGAAAAAAACCCGTCCCGTCCTGAAAATCGGGAAGAAAATAAAAATCCTGTCCCGTCCCGAACTAAAAATTCAATCCCGTCCATCCCTAGTTACTACTATGACGAAATTAGAGAAAGCTCTCTTTTTACGAAAAGAAAGTTTTGAGATCAATCAATCTAACAAGTTATTCTATTCTATTAGGCATTCTTAACGCTTCCTTATTTTGCTTGTGATGCAATTGGATCAATTTACACTATTTGCAGGGGTGGCTCCAGTGCCTAGAATTTTGAGTTCAACTTACCCCCCCCCCCCCCTTCCATTAATATTTCTGTAAAATGAAATGATTGAAGGTGTACATTGCAGGATTTAAGTATTTAATTGTTAGAGAAGTGAGAGCCGAGTCCGAGCTGAGCCACGCTTTTTTCTGTCGTGAATTTACGTAATTACAAATAATAAGTTAATCAGACCCAGTCAAACACTTTTTTTAAAGTGCAATTTAAAGACGAAACGTTACCATCGCCATCCACAATCGCTGCAAAATCCTGGACATGTCTCGTGGTCGTTCACATTACTATTTTTTTCAGCGATTACGGAAACATTATCAATGTCATCCATGATCATGACGAAAGCATGAATTTTTTGATCGCACATTTTGCAGACAGGTTTATTTCATCGCGATCGTAAGAGCTGGTCTCGAGTTCCGAGTTTCCGACTGTGAACTCGATTTCTCAAGCTTTTAGGCCAGGCTCGGCTCAGCTTAAAAATTAAGCCACTCGCACACCTCTAATTATAATATAAGGTGAATTGAATACCAAATTAATAAATAGCAATGTGTAATCACATTTTTAAAGTGAGTAGTTTTCAGTAACGGCTATCTTATGCTACCTATAATGAAACAGTAGACTTATTGTACAATTTTTTTTCTATTTTTTTTTTATGACATATTTAATGCTTTGTAGAAATATGTTGGCCACATACATACACAGATCTTTTTAATTTAGTAAATTATCGGTGTACTGTATTTTGAATCCAATTAAAAAAAAAATAAATGAGCAGGTAATTCCAAAAGTGTTGTGAATAAATGTTTAAATGTGCTGGTACACCTGGGAGTGTACAACTTTTTTTGGTCTTCTTCACATTATCTGCTCTCTCTAGAAACATGGCTCTCCTTGTATGCAACTTCTAATGTATGTTCTGAAATATAGTAAATTATGAATCAAGTTAAGTATTTTATTTATCAAAGACCTCTCCCATAAGTTAGAACAAAAAGTACCTATGATTTAGAAATTGTCTGCAAGGACTAATCAAAATCTTTGGCGGTTCTCATTTACCAACTTTGTGACTTGAAACGAAAGCCTATATTGTTTTTAAGTATTGCAGTTGGTCCTTTCAAATTAGTTTGTCAGCCCACTAATGTGACACACTGCACACTTTTGCTGTTTCTTACTTTCAAAATAGTAAAATTAGTAAAAACAGTTTAAAAATATACCCCGTGGACTTTTACAGACACCCTATCTTAGAATAAACATTATTTTGAGGAAATAAAATTCATTATCCATTATTCATTATTCATAAACACATTGTCGAACAAAAATAGGTTAAATGATTTCTGTATGACTTACCCTTATTTCCGCATCTGAAATAAGCGATATTACTAGATTGATTTGGTTCTGTCATATTATCTTGACTGGGAGCCGATTCATCACTTTCGGCAGGTATGCTCAGCTGGGGTGAGTTGACCACTGTCACTGCCTCCACTGGTATAGGATCGGGCAAGGAGGCAACTAGTGGGTTGTTTGCAGGAGCCACTATGTTAGTTGCATCTTTAGTGGCAGGAGGACCTTTTTTCCTAAGTATTATTGGCAACTGTCGAGGTTCTTTGTTCAACTCCTGTAGGGGAGTTTCTAGACTGGACAATCTTTGGGTTGGCGAAGTCGTACGATAGTGTACGAATTGAAATAGTTTCTCTTGATCTTTAAAGAACATAATTCTTTTTATGCTCTCCTTGGACACTTTTCCCATCTGAAATTGAAAATGTATGGTTAAAACTAGACGTAATAAAAAAAAATGTAATGTCATACTAAATAATACATTTGGAACTTTAAAGTGACAAGTACCATATAATTAGAGTTAGGCCTAGGAAAGTACTTGACCAAAGAGCTATTGAACGAGTTTATCAAAACAAATTATAAAAAAAGCTCCCCAAGAAAAATATAATATGATTTTTTTAAATCCATAATAAGTGTAGTTTAAGGAATGTAATCAATTAACCCTCGAACTGCCCTTCGGTCATTTTACGGCTTGAAGGCTGTTCTGTAAAGCCATTGGTCACCAAATTATTGATCCATTATTTTATATATTCAAGCTCATTACCAACGAATTGGTATATATTAGGCAGAGACGTCATTTTAATTGGCTATCCTGCTAACTTGCCCGTAGTAATTTGTTGCCCGTAGGAATTTGTGGGTTGGCATAATTGAATTCTTATCCTCCTTGTATGCTGATTTGACAATTCCCACTCAGCTGATAAGTAATTTTTTTTTATCAACAAAGTTGAATTTTAATGGTAAATTTGCAGCAAACAATATTTATTTACAAAAATTAGATTAGATTTCTTACAAGATGGATAAAATAACAAAACTTAATGTAATAAATAATAATTTATAATGTATTTTTAAATTACCTATACATTTACTATGAAGTATTTTTATACAAAATACAAAAAGGTAATAACTAATAAATTGTGGTAAGAATTTATTACTATACAATAGTAATATTCTCGGTTTCTTTTTAACAAAAATAACTCTTTGAGAAATAAAATCTCGTGCAATTAAAATTATGATAACTTAATTAGACTGTGCTATCCTTATTAAAATATTTTGTATCAATCTTTAATAAAACTTACGTTTGGTTTAGGGGAGTTTTCAATTCGCTGCAGGGCCTTAGGGTCTACGTCAGAATGAGCATAACACAAGTGCAGACGAATTTCTTCTTCCTTTCGTGCTCCAAAAGTACAGAATAGACATTGAAACATCCCCATGCCGTGTTTGTGGCAGTAGTGCTGTAAATAATAATAATAAGCTAGCTTGTACAAAGAGCTTCTTTAATAAGCACCTAACCTAACCTAACCTAACCTAACCTAAGTTACTTTGTTCATGTTTAGTTTTACATAGTGTACAATCTGTGTATTCTATTTAAACTGAAAAAAAAACTGTTGTGTAGAAAGGTTTTGTAGGAACATAAAAGCCCCAAAGTGATGGGTTATCAGTTCAGTTTTGGTTGTTTTTTCTAAAATAAATGGGTTGTATATATTTTGTTTTTCCCCTAAATAACTTATTTCAATAGAATTTCTCCCAACTTATGAAAACATAGTACTTATGTTAAAATTGCAACTTGCGCTTCATGTGGAAGCTATGATATTTCAAAGTAAGATTAAGTTTGCTAACATATCAAAGGTATTGAGAACAATAAGTAATGTCTATAACTTTCTATTAGTTAACAGCAACATCTTCACTAATTCAGGATGTAATCTGTTTCCGTTTGATACTGGTCTAACAAATTGTTTTCATAAAAATGAAATAAAAGATTCAGAGTATTTTAGTAAATATTTTGCCATTTTTTATTAAAATTTTTCATTTTCGTCCTGGGTTCCAATCCTGCCAAATCACCAATGGATTTTATTTAAGTGATAATGCTGCAGCCCTTAGGTCTAGCCCAAAGTAATGTGAAAAACAATCCCAGGCTTGTGCCTAGCGTCCTAAGACAATTTTTTTTTTTAAACTTTGTTAAAAATTGTTTTTGCCCTCGCCGAGGCTGCACCCTTACAGACAAAAAGCTTTTTGAAGGAATGCAGGAATTTCCGGTTTTGTACAATCAAGGTGATGAGAAGGATTCAAGAAGATTTACTGTATTTTGTGTTATACGAAAATAGAACTTGATTTCATCGTTCATGAGAAGAAGAAAAAGGATATTACATTTTCTCTCAATGGGTCTTGATTTTTATGAACTGTCTACCCATGTGCTCTTCCTTCGCCTCCTCAATGTTTCATCGTTTTCTTTTTCTTCTAGAGCCAATGCAATTATCACTAGATCACTGTTCCGATATTGTGAACGAACATTGCCTCACTACAGAACTGGGACAATGCTGATGGCTGTCGCTTGGAGTAGTGACGGGACAGTTCTCCTACCACTGTCACCAACAGTAGTCCGTGGCTGGGACTGAGATTGGCCGTATGTCAGCGAGGGCTCGATGCAGTTAAGTGTATCCTGACCTTTAATAGCAAGATAAAAAATTGTATGCATAGTTAAATTCCAAACATACATACCTCCAACAGTTCATTTACTTGGAGAAACGTATCCGAACACAAATGACAGACCATATTTTCTGGGTGGAGGGTCTGTATATGAGCACAGAATCGATTTATCATGTAGGTGAACAAAGCACATGTTTCTGAAAAATATATATATATATATTTTTAAATAGATCTTGCAAAAAGTATAGATACATATACACAAGATTGGTATTGCAATATGATACTACAAAAATTAACACTTTGTAGACACAAAAAGTGCATACAACACCTAGGAATGTTGGGTTTAGTGATATATCTTATATGAACAATTTCTACAGCTTACCGTTTGGTATTCAAACATTTGCTTACATTGCTACAGATAGAGTTGTAAATGGACATGCTAGTTGTTGCAAGGATTTGAAATTCCTAAAAATGGACCTACTATGTCAAAGTACCTACACCTAGAGTAAGTCAAGTCAATCATTTATTTTCACACAACGTTTTACAGATCCAGCATAGCTGGGAAACAGGTGAAATGGTCATGGACAATTAAAATACATAAAACTATAATAACTATACAATATGCTAAGAAATCAAATATATACATCATTTAAAAAATCTGTAATACCCTTTATTAAGCAGCAATTTGGTAACTTCTTTTTTGTATTTTTCAAAAGATTCAAATGATTTAATATTATTGGGTAGTTTATTATACAGTTTTTTCCCCAGATATTGTGGAAGGGTTTCTAGTGAGATAAGTCTATGAATGGGCAGTTGTAAATCATTTTGATGTCGTGTTAAATAATTATGGTTATGGTTTTCATTCATAAAAGATTCAAGATTATTTTTTTTTAAGATTAATGTTTGCAGAATATAAACTGACAGAAGTGTTAATATTTTCAATTCTCTAAATAATAATTTACAGGATCGCCTAGGTTTTGAAAATGTCATAATTCTAAGGATCTTTTTTTGAATTTTGAAAATGGTTTCGAAAGAAATCCTCTCAATCAACAACTTGTGGTAGTAATTGTTTTGCTTGCGAGTTTTAATGAAATATAATACAGAAATATCGGAGAATCTAAAAAAAATGTTTCGTTAAGTGTTGGCGATGGAGGGAGATCCGATATCTTAGATAAAGAATATACTAGTATCCAACTTAATAGTATAACCTAATAGCTCAATACTAATGGCAAATTAAAATTCAGAATGCAATTTGAGAGTTTATTATGTGGAATTGTAATTATCATATAGGAGTTTTTAAAACTAGTTACAACAAACAAATCAAATATAATATATATTTTTATTAAATTCAGCAGTTGATTGAAAATCTTCTTTGAGAAAAGCCATAGTAAAAATAATTTACCTATTGTTACAATCGATAGCTTAGTTTTCCAAATATCCAATGGTTATGATCAGCCTCGTGTACTAACACAATCGTAAAACAATTTAATATCTCACTAAACAGCTGTTTGTTTCTAATGGCAAAACTGAAAACTAGATGGAAGTCATTTCAGGAGCTAACTTGAACACAAACATAAAGTCTCATTGTTTTTTTTTAATTTAGTACGCCAAAAGAATAGTGCAATGTTACAAAAAAATTTTCATCACACGGGTAAAATGCGTTTTTGATCCTCTTTTTAAAATGGTGTTTGGGTCGAAAAGAGTGATTTTAAGCTGTAGAAATGAAATACACTATATTGTAAGTTTACTGTACTGGAAAAATCAGTTACAAAGATAATGGAAATAATAGCAGCTGACAACTTACCTGTAGCGTTACATCTGAAGGCACTAACATAATCCGTGAAGGGCTTTTCTATGAACTGAGGCAGATTTGTCTCTGTTTGTTCACAATGAAGAACCATGAAATTTTCACCAGCATGGTCAACTGACTGCAACACACGTACAGATATACAGATACTACAAGTAATCCTCAGTAGGTGGTAGCACTGACGAGAAGATGCTTTCACAGTCTCAACTTGAGTTTATACAGGTACAGCATTAAGGCAATGTATTTAAAAATACAATTTTAGCTCCCCTTTGATTGAAATAAAGTGGGTGAGGCCATTTCGGATAGTCAATGCAATACCTGCAATACAGGAGCACGTTGTTGCGTTCTCGTTTAATTCATTCTTTACATGTAGGCCTATAGCTTTTAACTGTTTTATAATTTTTTGTTTTGACATCGCAAATGATGAGCAATTTTGTTAAGTGTAAGCAGTGTGAGACATTTTTTACTACTGTAAACATAGCCAAAACCAGTCACTCCAAAATCATTATAAAAATAACACAAGACTGAAAAATTGTTACTTGATACTTAACTAGTAAGACTAATGTTATAGACTGAAAATTTTGCAATTTTTAAAGTTCTACAATTATTGTAATTTAATACTTAACTAGTAAGACTGATGTTTCAGACTGATAAAGTTTGTATTTTTCAAAGTTGAAAACCCACCATGTTTCCAATGCGGAAGAGTTATTTTTATTAAGGTAGGCCTATTTAATGTTTGTTTTTTTTATACTGATGTTTTTTATTAATGTTTTTCAATTAAAGATGTAAATATTCTTGTCTATTATTATTATTTTGTATTTAACCAGTCATTTGTCATAAATCAGTAGGCATTTAAAAATGTTACAAAATCAGGTTAAAATGTCGTACGTGCATTTCCCGTAATGTATGAGAAGGTAAACCCCGTCTCGATTTCTTCTCAAGACCTTATGAGAAATGAAAAATCCTGTCTTGTCTTGAACTAAAATTCCAACGTCGTCAATCCATAGTTTATACTGACTTAAACTTACATATAACTTAGGGGTATGCGGTACAGAAAATTTAAGGTCGGTACGGTACAATATTTTGTACCTCGGTTCTCAGTACAAAATCGGTACGGTACACGGCTACCCGTATTTTTGCGGTTTTCTTCTTAGAACTGCATTTAAACCATTATTTTTAATTTTAATACATTGACATTACTATGAAAATGGATAGTATCCTACAGTCATGGTTTTCTAACAACAATTACTGCACCACACATTATTAAAACAAAACTTTTTACTACTACCAGGATTGTGTCAAGAAAAATCACAGTTAAGATAAAGGCTTTTCCTATTTTACTCTGAGATACTTTGAATAGCCATGATAAGGTGGTTTTAAAATTGGGATAAGAGTTTTTAGGAATTCCAGATAATTTCACACAACTGGTAAATTATTTCCAACCAACACAATGTCTCGTTAATTTTTAAAAACATATAAAAGCATTAAGTACAAAGACAGTGTAGTTGCCAGCTGTTCACAGCAGACGACAATGAAAAACTGGAGGTTATGATGAAGTAATGGCAAAGAGCATATTTTTTTATAAGCTTCAAAACTAACTATAATATAAGATGGATACAACTCTCTCAAGGTTTTATTCTGAAACTAAATTTTGGATTATCACAGAGTAAGATTATTGTCTTTTCATTTACAAAGTAAACACCCACACATATCAATCATTAGTTTATCTCAGGCTCAATCCAATTATCTTAGTAAATTTTAAAGCTCTTCCAAAGAATCAAAAGACCCAGGCCTAGACCTAACTATTTATTAGGACCTATATAAATTGATTAGGTTACAATGAGGGTAGCAAAATCACTATCATAATTCTAGTTCATAAGATTTAGATTGCATAAAGAACCTTCAACACAATAAAAAATACATAAAAAAACATTTAAACCTTAACAGCCACATCCAACAATATAAGACAAGATACAGAACATGCAATAACATAATTTGAGACCGAGTAGGCTTGCATAACGAAAAAAAAAATGCAAACAACAACAACTAGCTTGTGGTTTAATCAATAGAAAGATAAAATATCCATAACAAATATTTTAGCTTATAAAATAATATTGTAGATTAGTTACAATAACATGTAGCCATAAACAGTTTTATGGCAGTAGGCAATGGCCAGCGGCAAATTGAATATTCACGAAAATACTGACTGAGTTAGAGATAACATTTAACAGTCATCATAAAACTATTATTTTTACGATAAAACAGAAATGGGGAAAGTCGTAAAGAAATAAAAGTGATAAAACTCAACAGTTCTTGGAAGTACTTGAACACAAAAATTATTGTCGTGATAAAAATGTTAATGGATTTGGGACTGCTAATGGGTTTTTTATTGCATCATCACCCTAGTAATAAATTATGAAGATTGTAAACAAACATCTAATAAGACTTTTATGTGTTTAAAATATAAATTAAAATTTTCCCTTCCACACCTTTTTCCTCATTTGCAAAAAATGTGCTATAAATATAACTAAATATTAATAGCTAAACCTAGTATTTATAACTTTGTGACAACTTACATGATGGTAATGCACGTTTGCTATCGACTTTGCCCGGTAAAAACAGAGTGAGCACTGCATTATGCAGATTGCATGCTTCTTCCTTATATGTATGCATAAATCTTTAGCATTTAAGAATGAAGTAAGACAGTAAGCGCAAACGTTCCAAAAGTCAGCGAGGATGTTTTCACCTGTAAACAAAAGAAAGTAAACAGGTAAAAAGCTTAGGTTCAGACATTTTGTCAACTATCAAATGTGTAATATTTTATGTTCGACACTACTTGACTGAGAGTATGGTGTTCACATAGAGAGACCATCATACCAAGAAACGCATCACATCACACAAACACACCATCATTCATCACATCACATCATTTCCTGCTGATTGGTCATCGTGTTGGGGTATTATTACGTTATTTACCTTGATCCACTGTTTGTGTTTCTCTGTGATTCTCGATATGAATGGAAAAATCTCTCATTGACGATGACGTAAAGCTGCAATTCATGCCCATACATTTGTACAAATCCCTTAGCTTCTCAAGTGCTCGCATTTCATTATATTTCGTCTCTGTTTTTATTGTGGATACAGACCCTTCAATATCAATGGGCAGCTTGAATGTTTTGACACCTATAATTGCTTCTACTCTGATTGGTAGCGATGTTTCAGCATCAGTCTGTAACAACAGTTACATATTACTCATAGTATTATGATTAACTAAAGATTTTAACAATGAAATTGGTGAAACTGTGCATGAAAGTCTGAAAACAAACAGACAATTGTCATCACCTTGGGGCTCCACATTAATGTTTCTTGGCTTTAAAGTAAGTTAAGACATTTTGAACCATCAAAAATGTCATTTGTATTAACCACAATTATTTGGCATTGATTATCTATAAAAGGCTAGGGACCCGGAGAAATATTCAAATTTGAATTAATGCTATGATTTGCATTTTTACATTAAAATACAACATTGCGCAATCATATTTTAGATCATTGACCATAATTAGGCATTCGGTAGTGCTGTTTCAGAAGGGAACCACATCAATAATAATAAATTGAGAATAAATTGGGAAATTGAATAATGTTCCCATGGTTGAAAACAATTATTTTGTAAACCTATAAAACATTAGATAACTAATCCATGGTTACTAATCATCCTATTAGAGACTATAAGCATTATGTTATAACAGGTTGCCATTGTTACTAATCACCCTATTAGAGACTATAAGCATTATGTTGTTATCAGCCGAGTTGAGTTTTTATCATCACTTATTGATAACAATGGAATGTTTATGAGTTTTATATTTTATTATTGTAGCTAATAGAGGATAATAATTAACATTTAAATAACAATATACAACTAATCTTTTTAAGGAACTGGCACATTTTTCCAATGGTTCTTGGTCCATTTTTGTTATATGGTTGGGTTGGTTATTTTCCCAAGAACCGTTGGAACCCTCTTTTGGAACCGACACACCACTATTTTTATACCATGTTGGATTAACCCGAAAGCAAGTAAAAAACCAAAGATAATGGTAATAGCTACTTCCCAACTGAAAAATTTCTTAAGTGCAGTAGACACAAATATTAATCTTAATACAAATTTTATACTATGATAATAACTACTTCTTCTAAGGGAGATTGTAAAAAATTCAGTTGTATATTTAACTATCAAATATAGTATATCCACTATCCAGGGATAGTTAAATTTTGCTATCAAAACATAATTATTTTAAATGTATTGCTTGCACAATTAATACCTGTGAAATAGCTGCAGACGATGACAAACAGGCTTCTGGAGGTTGATGAGGAAACTGCAATGAATTTGTAATTTCTTGATCTTCTTGGCCAGAAACTAAAATACACAAAATACACATTAATGACAACAAAATATTATGCACAATATGCTGAAATATTCTACAACATGTACAATGTGCAACGTTTGTCTATTTACTGTAAAGTATGGAACCGGGACTGTTGAATAGTTGGATATTAGAAACTCCTATAATAATGACTACAGTTGAGCGGCCCACACACTTCATCTTCAGTGTAGCCTACAACGTGTCAAATTTCATCTATTGTTCGTACAATTGAATGTAGAACACACACATATGGCATGTTCTAAGTACATACTCCATTAAATATTAACAAATAGAAAAAATATAGCACTAAACCACCTTAGATTAGTCCATACCATGCGCCTCTGTCATACTGATATGTACACCGGCAGGATAACTGGGTGGCAGGGCTGTAGCTTTATGTGTACTCTTTATGGTATTATATAGAGATATATGACCGTGTCTCAGCTCACGCGTCACATACATAGTGCACGATCCATCGTGTTATATATCGATGGTCATGGTGAAGACAAAATGCTGTTCATTCACTAATAAGTATTAAGAAAGAACTACGAGGTTATAATAGTAGAAAAGTCACTATCATCATTCTAGTTAATAATATTTAGATTGCTTAAAGAATACAACATAATAAATAAACATAGGAAACAAAAAAACATCTAATGCTGAACAGCAACAATATAGGACAAAGATACAGAAATTGCAATGACATGATTTGAGACCAAGTAGGCCTACAGGGATATCCATCCTGACACGGATAATTTTATTCTGAGTTTGTTTAAATATTACAATAATGTGTTTTATATTTGAGCTTTTTATGGACTTATGTCCCTACAAGCCACTAGTATAAAGCACTAGTATATTTAATTATAATTATAAAGTATTAATTCTAAAATATATGTAGCATCTTTTTTCATCTTTTCTTAACTGGGGCATGAGCGAATGGTACTCGCCAAATTGCAGCCGTTCTTTATTGATGTCGTGTACCCAAATTTTTCTTGCTCTTTCATCTTCTAGCACGGCTAGTAACAGCAAAACTTCTTCTTCATCAGACGATGTCATAGTTTTTATGTTTACACACAGTACAGTATACAAACACTAACTATAAAACAACTCTTTTACAACTAGACAAGCCTCACAGCAACCGCACCCTACGGTCTTCTGAGGTGTACTCGTACTGGCTTTCCCGCACGTCCCTTTTCCGCTCTGGTGTGGAAGCACCTGTTTCCGCTGCGATATTATCGCCCAAGTATCGGAGATATTTGACGCATCGAACGGTAAATCAGCTGATAGCTGGAGAACATGGGGAGGGGATAGGAAGCGCAGAGAGAGAGCGTAGTTGTGTTCTGGAGTCTACGGTGTGGACGCGTACTGGTCAACGCTGGACATTATCATCGAACCATAAGTTGTCTTTAGGTTTAGTTAATTAAATAAATATGTTCAATTTTTTTTCAGGAAAGAGGGGGGATTAAGGTGTTAGGAAACTATAAACTATATCAGCTTAATATGTAAATTTTACTTTTGAGCACACTCGTTACTTGTTCTTTGCTTTATTATATTAAATCAGATGTGTTAGAAATATTAGATCATCAAAATGGCTGTGATATGGATATGGTTTGGCTCAGTATTTAATTTACGTTTATTATTATTCACCTCAGAATATCGCACGCTGCAATAAACTGATTATATTGAGCCTTAACAATCCTTATGAGTCTTGTACTGTTACTATAAGTACACACTTCAGATATAATTCTAAGAATAGTATCGCGCCACTCCAGCGATAGAGTATCGCTCCGGTGTGTACAGGGCTTAAAAGCTATATAACTTTTATGAGCTAAACTACTGACTGATCGATTCTTCGAAGTACTTGACATTTATATCGCTAAAAAGATGAAGTTTACCTTCAATGACAGGCATCGGGAGAATATTTTCGGCGTCCATGCCAGAGAGTTGGTCACCGCTTAGTCGCCTTACACGTAGCCTTGGAGTCGGAGGCACGGCATGTGTAAGAGGCACTATAAGAGACAATACGTTATACAAACTTAAAACTTCTCATGGAGGAAATAATAATGAAATAATACTTAAAATTAAAATTCATGTTTACTTTTCATTATTTATTTATTTAACCTGAACACTGAGTATTTAAATCGATGCACTAAATAGGATTTTCTGTTTCCCTTGATTAAAACCAAAATCAATTTACCCTGTATAGGTAAAGCGGTTAGTGAAAGACAAGCATAAAATTTGTTAGGGCGAAACACAAAACTTTTATAATTCAAATACATACATAAAACTTAATCATCAGACTCACCTTCGTTTTTAGCCAAGCTGACTCTTGAGGTTTGCTTTGATGGTTTTTTGGTGAATATCACATGTTGTCGAACAAGATGACAGAAAGCTTTGCTTTGCGTGTTGATGGAAACCTTGTCGTGGCTGTTAGGGTCTTGCACAAAGTGGACTTTGCATGTGCAACAGATCCCATTCCAATAGGATGTATGATGCAGCATGTTGATATGCTGTCCAAAACTTCCCAGATCCGGTGTTTGAAATCCACACTCCTTATTAAATGTTTTGAGGGAACAAGAAAATATGTTTGTGCCACCTGATGTGACGGCTTTCAAACCTCCAACTTTCACTTCATCGCCCTCTAACAATTTTAAGGAGAATTGAGATATCTGTTTCATTACATAAGTGAATTCTGAAAAGTTAGAATTTAGAGGCAATGATGATGTGTAAGGTTTATCTTGAATAGACAGTGGCTTTCTCATTGCATTTTTATTAAGATAATTTTGTAAAGGCTCATAGAGACACATCAAGTTGTTATGAGTCACTGTTGATATAATAGTGTTTTCTGGTTCTCCAGTTAAAGTTTGAGAAACTATGTTTTCATTTACCAAATCATCTTCCCAATTATCTTCCAGTTCCATTGAATTAAATAGTTCCAAAAAATCTGGGTCATCGTTTTCATCAATATTTAACTCACTGTCTTTGTCATTGGTTTGCTTGATCAATCCTCCTTTACATGTCCTTTCAGGCAACTGCCGACGTGCTGGTGCTTCTTCCAATTTGTGATTTTCTTCCACTTCTTGACTCAAACTTTGATCAGTTTCTTCATCTGAACGTGTACTTTTTCTGGGATATGTAAAGGATATACAAGTGTCAAGTAAACTATTCAAAGATAAAACAGATTGTGCAGATGGAATCCCTCGCTGAATAATATCATGAAATATATACGTAGAGTTTGATTTGTGTTTTAAATCCTCAACCCTATATCTGACAAAGTCTTTACAGTTTTCGGTTAAATATTTATGGTTCATTTCAGAAATATTATCACACATCTTAGAAAACCAATCCTCTTTAATAATCATCACAGCTTTTTGTTCTTCTAGGTTTTCTGTGTTTTGAACCCCTTTAGAACTGTTGTTTCTTGGAGTATTGGCAGTTGTCCAAATTTCTGGAGTATTTTTATCTTCAAGTGTTTTATCACAATATACATTATCTTGAAGACTATTTTCTAACTCCTCAGGCTGAATTGAAGTATCAGTATCCTTCACTACACTCGATGCATCACTGGAATGGAAATTTATTTCTTGCTTCTTTGCTTCTGCAACACCTTCATTTATAGGCATGTCTCCTATTTTCTCATTTTCATCAGATAGTGTAGTAACAGAACTTTCAATTTTTTTACCAAGATCGATATCAAGATTAGTTAGTGATACTTTAGAAAAATTAATTTTTATAATTTGATTTGAGTCTTGTACTTCATGTACATTTTCAAGATGTCTTTTCAAATTTTTTTCACTTATCTGAAAATAATTGCATAGTAAACATAAATAACCAACAAAATATGTTTTATCCTTGGGCTCTTTGTACAGCACTCGACAACTTTTGTCGTTTGAACTCTTCAGATTATGGCTATAAGAATGTTTTAATATTCCTGATCGAGTTGATGTTCTGTATCCACACTTACAGCATTCGTGGCGAAATTCCCCAGTGTGAAGAGCCATATGCTCAAAGAAACTGGAAAACTTATTCGACTTAAAACAACAAATTCTACAAGCAAATAATGAAGAAACGTCTTTTTGTTTTTCCTCACAAAGTGAAAAAAATTGTTCTGATTCCTTTATTGCATCTCTTGCTGCTTCAGGTGACATTCGTGAAATTAATACCTCATCTTTTGGATGAGTTATTGCGTAGTGTGTAACTATTGATTTTCCATTGTATGAGCAAAGTTTGCAACTCATCGCTTTGGACTCTCCTTCTTGAAAATAATTTATGTCATATAATTCATTCACATCCTCAGTAGGTTCATGATTTTCAGTTTCATTACCGTCATCATCAGTATGATTTCCCAATTCTGTTTCTAAGTTTTCCACGTCAGACTCAGTTGTATTTTCACCAGAACTACGGGATTTCCTTGATCTACTTTTTTTCTTAATTATTCCTGCTGACCAAGATGTTTTTTTCTTCTGCTTTTTCGTGATAGCTTTGTTTGGCAGATTGGGAGAAGTAAAAATTTTGCTTGGTGTTTCTTCATCAAAATTATTAGATTTTTTGTCATGGTTGTTTTCTATGGCTGGCTCACTTTGGGTAAGGCTAACTAAATTTTCATCTGTAGCTTCATGATTCATGTTACCTATCTCATTATCAATGGTTGTTGTAACCGAAATCGGGGGAATCGGGGGAAATTCGTCAAATGTTTCTTGCACACTTCCTGTGCTTTCAATATCTTTGATATCTTGTCTATCTATTTTTAAGTCATTTTGCAATTTTGTAATTTTTATTGTCTCATCAACGCTTGTTTCTGGTTTAATTTTCTCACTAGATATGTCTTCTTTTGCCTCCTCTAAAATGAAACTATATTTAGTTTTCATCTTTTCGGAATATAAATGTATATCATCACTTGAATCGGAGTCAGAACCTCCGACATGTTCTTCGTCGGGGCTCTCTTCATCCTCTTTTCTTTCACTAGTATCACACTCATCAACTTCCTTATTTTCAAGCAATTGGTCTTTTAGAGACATTTCTTTAAAGTCATCGGTGTCTTCTCTGTATTTCTTAGATTTACTTTTAGCATTTTGATTAATTTTTATTTGCGTTTGGTTGGTGTGTTTTTCTTTCTGAAGCCTACATTGTCTGGGACCAGAAGCAGCGGCAATAGCTTCAGAATCATGGTATTTACTTATATCTTCTTGTAATCTGTCCAACTCATTTCTATACTTTCTCTTTGGTTTTAAATTGGAAGATTCCTGTTTTTCATCATTTATCAAGTCAGACTGATCCAAATTATGAGGTTTGTCAATCCTATTATCAACATTTTCGGATTCATTAGGAAACGTTTCATTTGGTTTGTCAGTTTTACCACCTTGTCTATTGTGCTCTTCACTTTTAGGAATGTCTTTTATTTCTGTTACAGATAGGAGTTCAGCTACCTTCCTTATTTTATCAGGGGTTAGTTTGATGCCTATTACACCCTCCAAAAGTTCAACCTGTTTAATTAATGAAATATCTGGAGTTTTACTGACAGCATCGCTTTTGTTGACATGTTCATTTTCAACTTGTGAGACAATGTCTACCGTTCCTGGGATTTCGACAGATTTCAATGTCTTATCTTCTTCAATTTTCTTAAGGGTAGCTTTTTCTGTGGTGTCCGGTTTGATTTCAGTTGACTTATTCGTTTCATAATTTTCAGCGTTGCATGTCATGATTGAGTTGGCTTCATTAGGATTTTGATTAGTTCCAACTGATGCAGACTTTATGTTAACTGAGTTGGCATCACTCTTACTTCCTTTTTCTGGTGACATTTGAGGTAAGATTATTGGTTTCGTAACCAGGTTGCATTTCTCTAATGACACTGCCAAATTTTCATCCAATGTAAGGTCTTGTTTGTTTACTTCAAGACTTGATGTATCTACTTCAGTGTTTAACCTTCCCTTCTCTACCAAGGGACCTTCTGATAATTTATTGAAGATTCCAATGTTGGTGGCCGTTTCATTGGTAGATACCGATTCAGATGATTTATTTGTGGTAATTTCATTGGTAGACACTGTTTCAGATAGTTTATCTGTGGTAGTTTCATTGGTAGATACAGATTCAGATTTATCTGTATCCGTTTTATTAGTAGATACTGACTCAGATGATTTATCTGTTGTTGCATTAGTGGATACTGAATCAGATGGTTTATCTGTTGGATCATTGGTAGATGCAGAATCTGATAATTTATCGGTTGTGGTTTCATTAATAGATACTGATTCAAATGATTTATCTACTACATTAATATTGTTTTGCACATTTTCTTCCTGAATCTTATCAGGTGGCTTGTCTGTAGATTCATTCTCTTTCTCATTTTCTTTCTTCCAAGCTAATTTTGTTTTAGGTGGTCTACCTCGCTTTCTTTCCAAAAGCCTACCACTTCTTCTGCATGAAGTATTTTGCAAATCACTAACAGGAGATGCAGGTTTGTCAGCAGAGGTACATTTTTCTTTCTGCAATACTGCATTTGGTTCGGATTCAATTTTTTCATTGTCTAAGTTACTTATTGAAACTTGAATGTCTATATCCAAATTTGGTTTGCTTTTATTTATTTCTAAACCATTAGAATCTTCTACAGATTCATCAATGATCTGAGGGGCAACCTGCCTTTTGGTTTCTTCAGGAGGTCCGAGTGATTTCTTTTCGGAGGGAGTTTCTTTGGTTTTCTTGTTGATATTGTTAGTAAAGGATCCTTTAACTTTGGGTATCCTAAATTTTTGAAAACCATAACCAAGACCAGTTTTAGGTGTTGGGGTCTCGGCATAAAGTTTGTCTAACGGAGACAAGTATTTATCTTTGCTTTTTTCTTCATTTGTTTTACTCATTGTAGGATTTGATCTTTCCTTGGCAGTTCTATTGTGACTCCGACTTTGGGAACCATCTCTAGACCCATATTGACGATCTTCATCCTTTCTGATCAATCTTCCAGTTGGATATTTTCTTTCTGGTACGATTGTGTCTCTTTCATTTGGTCTTTCACATCTATTTTCGTTAGAAGATTTGTCATGTCTTTTGGAATACCTATCTTCATTATTAGATCCAATTACCAAAGCCTGATTTGAGGAGGAAGGTTTTTCCTCAACGCTCCTGCGACGTGGGTCTCTTGCTGACATTTTTTTCCTCATTTCAAATTCTTTTGTTTGATTTTGGCTCTGACTATAATTATTCCCTCGATTATGGAAGCTTTCATTAACCCATCTATGCCTGTTATAATTCCTTTGATCAGACATTGACTGTCTGCAATGAATCTGGGAACTTTCAGAGGTTTGAAAATTATTAAGGTTTCTACTTTCAGCCAATTGTCTCTCAGCTTTCCACTCGGCGTATGTACTTGGAACCCTTCTAGTATTTCTGGGATCATAGTAATGAGATTGTTGACTATCTATATAATTATAATACAAATCTCTGTCTTGAGATGTGTTCCCAAGAGAATAACTTTGGGATAAAAGGGATGGTCTCTGAGAGCTCTCTCTCCTGAAGTTGTGGGACTCATAGGGATATGTTGATTCATTAATCATTGGAGGTCTTGGGTAGACATTCAACATTTCTTTAGCTTCGTTACGAACATGACTTTGTTTTTCCAAACCCATATTTAAGCTTATTGTATAAGGGTCTGGTCTGTATGGATCAGGAGTTGCACTTCCATCGTAACAAGGCGAAATAAGAGGATCAGTTTGAAGTACAAGCGGTGGATTTGAGGGAAATGGATCCTTAAGATGTTCTATATATGGATCTGAACTATTGAAATTAGAACTGTTATAATTTTTGTTTTCAAAAGAAGACATTACTTGTTCAGGCAAAGGTTTGAGTGCATTTTGAACGTTCTCCAAACATTGCTGATTGGGCGATGCAACATTGCTTATTAACTGAGATTTACACCTGGGATCTTTAGCACTTAATTTATTTTTCCAACTTTGGTTTTCATAAGTGCTCCAGTTACTATCAGATTGTTGAACAGCTGTTTTGCTATCAGGTAGAGCAATGTCATTAACAATACTTATGTTTTTGGAATTGTCATGAATTGAGTGGATAGGGTTGATCTGATTTCTCCAAGTCTCATTAGGAATTGGTGAAGTTACATTTTTGCAATTGTCATTTGTGCATGTAGTATTTGTTAAGAAAGGCAAATTTGGAGGAATAGGAAGAGCTTCAATATTTTCCGTGATGATTTTTCTTAAATCACTTTCTGATAATTTGGATAGAATATCATCAGGATTTTTAGTTTTGATTGGGAAGTTAGTTTTTTCCGTTTCACCATGACCATGAACTTCACTACTTATGTTTGGAGTTAAAGATTTTAATTTGGTTTTGGGTGAAGATCGTGAGGGTCTCTCTTCGCCCATCAGATCAAATAAGGCTCCTGGTTTTAAACTTGCTATCTGGCCAGACGGCATCATTTTATCACGCTCGACTAGACCTCTCAGAGCTCCACCACAAGGAGTCCCAACTTTGTGGAAAGTGGAAATTTCATCAGTTAGCTTAGATCTTAAGCTAGAACTATTTTTTGGTTTGTTTAAATCTTCACTTTGGGTACAACTCAATTTTGGATTTTGATTAAGGTTACTGTCGTGGTCTTTATGGCTTGAAATCACAGTTTCACTCTTTTTGTTGCTCCCTTGTTTAGATTCTTTGTCTGTCAGATTTTGTTCTAGAGTTGTTCTATGACTAGAGATTTCATTTTCTTTTATAGTTTGAACCTTATCGTTGCTCTCGTTTGATTTTATTTCACTAGAAAGGACTGAATTTTTATCAAGAATAGAAGGAATGATTCCGTCTAAACCTGGAATCTGTATTTCATTCACATAAACATCATTGGGAGTGGTAGAAATAGAGGGAATATCAGAATTGTGTTGCTTATCATCTTTAATTGGAACTGTGCAAAGAGAGTTTTCAATTAATGGCTCCGCTGCTTGATTTCCTATTTCCATAGATTTTGCCTTTTCTGAAAGGATTTGTTGGACTGTCATAACGAGTTCAGCCTGGTCTTCCTTGGATATTAAGGGTTTTCTAATTGTATTGATATTTGTTTCAAGAAAGCTTGCTTCTTTTACATCAGTCCCCTTGTGCGAATCATTTATTCCACATGGAATTGATGGTACGTTAGCGAGACATTTATCAAGATTAATATTCAAGCCAGCTGCTACATCGGAGTTGGTGGTCACATTTCCTGGTCGGTCAGTTCTAGAGACACCCCTTCTAAAACCAAACTTTGTGGTTAAATTGGACATAATATTATCAATGAATGAATCAGTATCTTCTTTTGTCGATTCTGATTGTAAAGGTTTATCTTTAAAAAACATATCTTGACATTTATCACTTTTGCTATCGATAGCTCCATCGAGTGATCTTACTGCAGATTCACTACTGCATGCAGCGGGCTCAGTCTTAGAATTTGCCATTAATAATCGTTTAGCTTTCATATTTTTCAGTCTGTTGTTAAGATTAGATTTTAATTGTTGAGTACTTTGATTGAGCTTCTCTATATCTCTTTGTTCCAACGTGATTTCCTCTAAACTACAAAGCATATTGCTGCTACTCCGGTTCAAGGATGACCTGTGAACAAAAAGAATTTTTTAATCAATTAGCTATCTTTATTCACAAATAGCCTGAGAATAAGGGAGACAATGGATAGGATAAGCAGGCTTACCTTAAGAAATGTAGGTTACAATACTACACTACAATAGCACAGAAGAAAACACAAGATAAATTGGATATTTCGAGGCCACTGGCCCCTTTCTCAACATTGAGAGTCACAATAGATACTTAAGTCTTTCACTGGTGAAGGAAGCAGTGTTGCTAACTCTATGAATTTACAAAAGAATATTTACAAGTAAAATGAGTCATTGATTATTGTTTATTATTTATACTTAGTCTTAAGCCTGCTTTTTAGGTAAGGAAAGGGAAAGGGAAAATGTTAGGTATATCTGAGGTTGAGGTTAGGGGGCTCCCTGGATTTCTTATCTTTCTTATCAATGGTTCACAAAATTCAGGGAGCCCCCGTAACCCCAACCTCAGATAGACCTAACATTTTCCTTTTCCCTTTCAGTATCTATAGTGACTTTCAATGTTGAAAAAGGGGCCAGTGGCCTCAAAATATCCAATTTATCTTGTGCTTTCTTCTGTGTTACAGTAGTGTAGTGGGATGCCTACATTTCTTAATATAAGCCTGCTTATCCTATCCTTTGTCTCCCTTATTCTCAGGCAATAAGCCCTTTCTATTCAAACCTTTATTCACATATACATGAGTACTAACTTAACGTTTAAGTTACAGAGCAAAATGTTGCTGGAATCTGTGAGGGAAGCATTTGTTGTTGACAAAAAAATATATTTCATAACTTCAGTTAGTAAATAAAGTAACAAAAATTAAATTAAGATTCACTTGTAAGCCCTTCACGTCCTTTCAGTTACCAAAATAATAAGCAATGTGGTAGCAAAAGTTTAAAAGAAATAAATTAAGTTTTAAAGACAAAGACAGTTAATTACTAAACCTAATCTTAAAACAAAAAGCCATTTAATTCTCCAATTTATAAAATATATTTTACATTAGGATTTTACCAATTTAATAAATTATACCATGAAAATTTGCATGATCATAGGATTATAATGTAATTTTAAGATATTATATCTTTTACTAATAATAATACATTTTTTGGTTTTTTAATAGCATCGGCAAAAACTTAATTGTACAAAAAAGTCTTAGTAAAAACATGTTATCGGTCATTTTTGAAATACTATTAATGAATCACCAATTCATTGCAAAACTATGAGCGATTTAAAATTACAAAAGAGAAACATATACAGGGTGTTCATTTGAAAACTTTCCATATCTGTTGTGTACAAAGGTACACTTTTAACACTTTTTTGTTCTCATTACCCCGTAATTTGGACATGCTGAATCCAATAAAATTATTTTCAATTTTGAGAAATTGTCTCAAAAGGGTCCAATTTGGGGGGTAGGGGTGCTTTTTGAGAAATTTTCAAATTTAAACATGGGTTGTGTGATACCTACATCAATTTAAAGGTATAATCACCCCGATAATTTTGGTACAAAGAAAATTTAACTATCTTTAACCGTATTTACAGGGTGGGTCAAAATGTTTAATAAAAAGGACTTTGCAGTTAAGTACCGTATTACCCTAACTACTGAACAGAACAGCGACAATTTTTTTTTCAAAACTTATTATTGAGCTTCTCTTTAAGATAACTTGTAGTAAGGATATTTTCCGTGTTATTTTCCAATTTAACAAAATCTCAAATTTGAAGAACAAAATAAAGCTGAAAACCCAAAATTTTAAATAGCAAGGTATGACAAATTTCATATAATGTGAAAGGTCCTTTTTAATACTAACATTTTACATATTTAGGTTTTCTTTATATCTCTTACCGTTTAAAAATTGCAGTAGAATAACATAATTTTCTATGGTAAAATTATAATTAGTTTTCTAGTAAAACACGTTGCACTTATTTAGTACCAAAAAATTTTGATATTGTAGGATTAGCCACTTTGCCGTTAATTTATGAATTAAAAACCATCCCAGATACAAACCAAGTATGGTATGCGGATGACTCATCATGTCAAGGAAAATTTTATAATGTGACGAAATGGTGGGACAAATTACAAGAAATTGGGCCTAAATATGGTTACCACCCACAAGCTCACAAAACCCGTTTGATTGTTGGTATGTGGACATCCTCAACATGTTTGCTAACAAGTTTACTCACTTGATGTTGCTGGATAAAGTGCTGGCTGTAGAACTGTGTTGACTTTTATCCTTCATTTTCTTTCTTGGAGGTTCGTCTCTGTCCAAATCATACCTTCTGAAAAGAAAAAAAAAACAAAATGTTAGAGAATACATAAAGAGTAAGTGGTTGTGTCCACGAGTGTGTTGTTTTTTTCATGCTAGCTTTGAGACTGATAAGTAGAGTGATATTTGAGACTTGAGGTGTTTTTGCGATTTTATAATCCCTGCAGTATTTATCACATCACCATTGATGTGTTGTTTTTATGTGTTAATATGTAACAAGAAAGAAAAGCTTAGGTTAGGATGAGTCAGTTGAATTAATAAGGAAGCTAAATTATTCCTTATTAAGGTTAATTATTAGGGTCCTTATTAGGGTTAAGATGTAAGATCACTTGAAAACAGGAGGTTTCCTTTCCTCCTGAAACGTAGTGCAGTTAAAAACAGTAGGGATAGGAAGTCCAACTATTTCAACTTAAATTAAATCAGTACCATATCCTTCACAATGATGAACTTAAAAAACACTAACCAGCCAAATCCCAATAGCCATCAAATAAATGTCCTTTGATAAAAAAAAACAAATTAAACTGGTTTGGTATTTTTCCTTACAAGTTGTACAAATGAATTGCTATACACTTTATTAGACTCTCAATACAATCAAGTTCTTTTGGAAAGTATTGTTGAAATTCCATAAGAAGTTAGAACCAAGAAATAATTTGAGAAGCTGGCAGCAACAGAGCAAACTACTGTTTGGGGAAATTACTATACCGAACTGATGTCTTAATTACGCTAGAATCTAGGAGGATTAAACATTAAGAGTCCTTGGAGCCTAGACATTCAGCTCGTAAAACAATTAGAGAACTAGATATTTAAATAGCAATCACTCTGGAGTTTGAAAAAATATTTTGAGAGGACAATAACTCTTCAGCGGCTGTTTGAAATTAACGTTGCTCTTATGGCAGGCAAATCCAAGATGGCCGTTAGCTTCCATGGACTCCCTTGGAGTACAATTCAAAACTACTAAGTACATTTCTAATCCCACAGTATTTTAGATATAAAAATTATAATCACTTTGGCGTTAGAAAAACTATTTTTGGACGATAAATAACTCTTGAGCAGCTGTTTAAAATTATCCAAGATGGCCGCTAGCCTCCAAGGACCCTTAAGGGGAGGACACGCTCAAGTTTCACTGGAGGGGCAGAAAGATTTCACTTTTTACTCAAAGTTTATTTGATATGACTTAACATTAAGCTCTCATAATAAGGCTCAATATTACATAAAAAATCCAAAATTTAATGGGTAAGAAAATGTTTTACTTTTTATGGTTTCAATTTAATTGGAACAGCTGTGAGTGTAATAAAAGCGAACACTGATTTGATTTTTTTCTTGACTTTGGCTATTTCAAATTACCTGCCTAGCACATAAATGGCTTGAAAAGTAGCAAAAAATTTGAAAAAGTTATAATAAGGAACTCTAATTTAATATTAATTTCACCATCCAAATTGGATTTTTATTTAAACCTAAACTTAATAAGCTTTTTTAAATCTGTAAAACAAGTTAATATGGTTCTTTTATTTAATACTCCAATTAAATATTGGTGAATATATTATTTCTATTGCGAGAAACTCTTAGGGAACAGAAATAAATTGATAATTTGTATAGATAGGTACATGATATTTATTTCAAAAAGTAATATAAAAAAAAGTAATTTATTTATTTTAAAGTAATCATATGTTTAAGGTCCGAGATGATTCTTCCAACTTTGATCTCCAATATAATAATTTTTGCAGGAAACAATTACACCATTCAATAGGAAATTTAATTTACTTGAAGAATGCCATCAGTGAGTAACATAGGTGTTTAAGTTTAGCGGCAATTTTAATTTGAAACTGCTCGCATCTTGTTTTAGCCTATTTCTCCCTTGTTATAGCGGCGGCCACTACGAACGTGTGAAAATCACGTACGTTCAGCGTAGCGGTTTGCCAATCTACGGCTCCGCGTGCCCCTCTAGTGTTCTGCTAAAGCTGGCTTCACGGCAACATGTATATCCCTATTCGCGTGCCCTCTTGTTAATGTTTAATCCTCCTAGGCTAGAATAGTATTGCACCGACTTTTTCGGTACAACCCTCCAACTGACAGCTGACTTACTCTCTCCTGTTGGGTTTGATTTCAATCCTCACATCATCTAACATGGATTTACTGGAACTGGAACTATAGTTGGAACTGGAGTAGGATCCACTGGTTACTGTCTCTGCTTTTTCAAATCTTTTCCTGAAAAAAATTAATGTTCTTAGGTAAATTTTGTCTCCTTTGCCATAAAAAAGGACTGCTAAAGCTAATGGTTTTCAAAACTATTTATTTGTTGTAGTTGTATGTTATTCCACACAACAAACTATTCTGTTGTAGGATTTTTGAGATTTTCGCAAAGTTTTTGAGTCCCCAACAAGAATCACCGAAATAAAAACAAAAAGTTAAGTTTTATATCCCAGTAACACTTCACATACAAAATGAATACTTAAGTCATCAATCGAACTAACGTCAATTTAATTATGTGCATGTTTAGCAGTTGCAAGTACTATTCTTTAGTGACAAAATTACGTATAAATGACACCTAGGCCTAATGCTATCTTTGAAGTAGGAAGTTACCCTTTGCCCTAGCTTAAATCTTATAGCTCAACTATAAAAAAGGGAATTGTATAACAAAATATATTTAAGCTAAGATAACATACTATTTAAATTAAATGACGATGTAATTAAAATAGCCCTCATTGACTAGTTATTAGGTTGGTTAGAAATCGTAATACTATCTTGTTATTTTCTCACATTCTCGATGCAAGACATTTTCGGCAAACAAAAATGACAACGCAACTCAGCACAAGCATTTTTAATCGATCCATTGTTGCAATAGGTCAATTCTAGATGAATTTTCTTATCAAAAACATTATCAATAAAAAATACATAATTATCGGTCTAGGAATAAAACTTAAAGTAGATCCAAACCACAGATCACATTTGTTTCACATGAAGTTTAATATGATTGTGTGCAATTATCCTAAATGAAAAACATTTTGTATTGTGTGAACTGTGTTGTCACATATTCATCGTTGAACCATTGTTTTATAAATTTCTATGATGAAGGAATCAAATTGATAAACAGGAATTAAATTGATAAGCAGATATTATAACTTGTTTCATGGAGGGGAATGTTTCCTATTAATTAACATTGTAACAATAATACACCACTTAAAAACACAATTTTTGTGTTCACAGGCCACAATAGTATTTAAATCAAATAATATAAAAATATTGGTTGTAACTATTTAAGCACACAGTATCAAATCAAATCAAATCGAAAATTCTTTATTTATTTCATGCACATAGGTACATATAAATATTGTCAAAAAATTATATTAAAAATACAGCAGTCTCTGAACCTTATCTATTTTAACACAATTTGTCCTGAAATATACTTTTTAGTTCTTTTGTGAACAAAGGTGGAAAAACTCATCTAAAGATTATATTAGTTTGTTATACATACTTTTTACTGCTCTTGGATGAAACCTCTTCCTCAACACTGCGCGATTTGTGGTATCCAGAAGACTCCAATCTATTGAGTTTGCGCCTAAAACATTATTAACTTTAGATCTTGAATGATGACCTAAATCCCAAATCAATACCTTTTAACAAAAACCATTAGCCTAATAAGATTTTCTATTGCTTGATAATTTTAACAGAACCTGTTCACTAACAGACAAATGACTCAATAATGTTTATTTAAAATAATGTTCATCGCTGAATAGGGCTATAGTAATACAGAGATAAAAATCAGCTCTAGGTCCCCAAAAAAATTTGGAATAATTAAATTTGAAATAGTTTTTTCCATGTTTAGAAATTTGCTTAAATTTAAAAATATTGAATGATAAAATTACATTGGAAATGGGTGAACGAGATTAGAATCTTGAGCCGCACTGTGCCGTTTAGAGTCTAGCCTTAAATCCCAAGTGATCAACTCACAAAACGAGTTAAGTGTGGCTTTTAATCTAGCAACATTATCATGCTTGCAGTCTGTATCGAATATAGATACATTTGACATATATCTCTTGTTAGTATTATTGCATGGAATGGCTGCATTATGAATATTGCTGGAAAAGGTAGTGTCTGGCTTATGAATATTGCTGGTCTTACATCTGTTGCTGTCACTTGGATATGAGCCTTGGGGGAGTGGTTCTGATAGGTTGGTTGAAGGATTTGGTGAGTTAATATCCTTAAACGTTACAATAAATAATCTTAATTTTGATGATGAAAAATAATTTATAACATGAAATCACAAAAAAAAAACTGGGCTACCATTGCTGCTAAATGTTGCAACCCATTTAAAGATCAAAATCACCAAAAATGTACAAAGACAAAGACCTTAAGAAATGTTACAGACTGGATGTGCTTTCTAGATTTAGAAATAAGTAATGGGATGAAAAATATAAGATAAACGTAGAAAAAGTATTTATAAGAAATTTAAAGCCAAAAAAGAGGTTTTACAGTGTAGTAGTAGAAGTTTAGATGACTCATTCACAGATCCTCAGTCCTCGATAGATTTTTTAAACAAGTCACTGGAACTTATTGGCGAATGGCGAATCGCCATTTAAAAAGAAAAAAAGTTCTGTGCCTAGCTAAACGTAAAAAAAACTTGAAAAAGTTAAGTTAAGCTTAGAAAAGACTCTTACCAGAATTAAATCAAGAAGAACCATCTGTGGTTATACTAGAAGAATCAGAAAAATACAACAACTTAAAAGAAAAGTTGCCGTTACAACAAAAATGAGTGAACGAATGACAATTTTGTATGTTTTACCTTTGAGCTGGAGCATAAAAAAAATCCAAGATGAGTTTGGGGTAAGCAGTTATTTAGCCAGAGCAGTCAAAAAAATTGTTAAGGAAAAGGGGATACTCTCTACTCCTAATCCTAAACCTGGAAGAACATTAAATGATAATATTGTCAGCCAAGTTAAAGACTTTTACAATTCGGATGATGTTAGTAGAATGATGCCAGGAAAAAAGACTGTGTCTTTATGAAAGCTGATGAAGGAAATTCTACCTATGTTCAAAAACGATTGATTTTAGCTAATTAAAAAAAAATATATTTCAGTTGTTTAAAGAAAAACTCCCAACAAGTCAAATTAGTTTTTCAAAATTTTGTGAGCTTAGGCTCAAAAACTGTACATTAGCTGGTAAAAGTGGAACACACACTGTTTGTGTATGTACATTACATCAAAACACAAAGTAAATGATAAATGGAACAAAAATGAATATGCTTGTCTTTGATGATGACTTCTCTTTGAAGTCTTATCATTTTTGCCTGGCTAAAATAATGTGCAACCCACCTTCTCAGCACTTATATGAATAACTGTAAAGACTGCCCAGGTGCTACCACTTAAAGACATGCTGACTGCTAAATTTAATGAGGAGATGATTGACCAAGTGACATACAAGAAGTGGGTTACTGTTGATAGATGCTTGATGAAAACTGTAGTAAACAACACAGACAATTTTATTGAAGATTTTTTAATACTTAAAACCCGTTCATTTAGGGTCATTGACAGAATCAAAGGACACCACACCTGCACTACAGAAAACCTTATACATCAACTGGAATGTCAACAATGCCAGGCCCAATATATAGGCAGAGACAAAAAACACTCTAAAGAGAAAGAATGAATGGTCACCACCAAAAGAAAACCCTGTGGCCATCCATGCCAACAAACACAGCATGGACTTTGATAGTTGCTTCACAACTAAAGTCGTAAAATCACTTCCAAAGGATGAATGGAACCCTTCCATGTTAAGAAATTGGGAACTGGCATTCCAGTATATAACCAACTCCAGAACTCCCCCAACCTTAACCTAAGATAAACCTGTCCCAGCAGCTAGCTAAATACATAATAGGCCAAGTGTGTCTATATAATATGTGTGTGTGCATAAAGTTGTGTACATAGTTATAAATAGACTAATAATATGTGGCAACCCTGCATAGTTGACAGCAACCATTTTGTAATTTGTAAACTCTTTCTCTACACTTGACAAAGTCCCTCAGGGGACGAAATATTGTGTGCACAGTGTATTTTCTACATGTTCTATGGCCTACAATAGTATGGCCCTATTGTTAGCTAACAGTTTAAGTCATAGCAGTGTTTTGTGATTGTAGGCCTACTTTATAATGTTATACAGTACTCACTCCCGCTCTTTGGTTTCACTTGGTACTTCTCTGTGTTTAGAGTGACTTGAGTAGGGATGTTTGGTATACATTTCATGTCTAGAAACAATAATGTCCTCTTCTCTTCTAACAAGGTCACTGCAACATAACATTTAATCATTAATAACAATTTAGGGTTCTCTGACAGAGAGTTAAACATAATTACATGAGATTTATTTTTATTCCACACAACATTTCTTAACATGTTTGTTCATATAGTATTACTTAGTCCCATCACAATAAAATAAGAGGTCCATTTAAATATTTTTACAATTTCTCCCCTTTGTGTATTTTATTTAGAGATTTGTCAATAGCAAATTTAGTTCATCCTCGATAACGATACCTAAAAAATCTCTTGGTTTTCGACACAAGCATCATGATACACCTGACAGGTACGATTGGCTACTAACTTGGCTGCTAGATTAGAGGTTATAACTGTTGGCTATATTTACAACAAAATCATGCTAGGTATATACGTGTACCATGGTTTTATGCTCATCAAAATCTTATGCCATAAGTTATATCAGATCTGGGTATTTTACGCTCAAAATTAATCTATAGCTTTCCCATGATGATAATTTTATAACAGTTTGATTTTTCATCTGAGAATGGTGTTTCGTGTGCTTCAAAGCAAGAAATTACATTGCTGACCTTTCTTTCATTGCTTTTAGGTGTGGCAATTTTAGCAGAAATTTAAAATTGAATTCCAAACTTTAACTTTTCCTATTCAATGTCTGGTATCAATATCGATATCAGCTCTCGACAATGGATTCTCTATCCTAGAACACCAATTGTCAAAGAATAGGTGGTATCGAGAATCAACACATCTCTAAAGTCAGTCATTCTCTAATCACACGTCTCTTCCATTTTTTTGTCCATTCAAACTAAGTTTAAAAAACACCCCTGCAGTTGTAAAACGTATGGGTGATCCATTACAACCCAACCTAATGACTTTTAAAATAAATAATACTTAAAATAAAAACCATAGGTTTTTTCATAAACAGCTGCCTTAGTTAAAATTATGCAAACAAATTATAAAGACGCAAACAGTAAAAGTTACAATTTAGGATCTGGTTCTTGAAAAAGATGTGTCAAAGAAAGATTGAAGTAGGCCTCAAGAACAGAAGGCCATTTGGAATTTGGAGCAGGATCATAGCATTATTTAAAAAATAAATAGGCTACTGTAATACAAATGTTCTTAGTAGATTTGTTTTAATGCTGTTCAGAACTAACAGAATATGATTTTCCAATATCACGGTAACAGAGGAATATGTTTAGCATTATTGTGTATTAACCCTATATATTTATGTACCACATCTTTGGTATGTACAAAAATAAACAATTACTTACTCAGTCTTGGGCTTCTCATAGAACCTTTCTTTGGAATCATTGAAGCGAGGTGATCTTTGTTTTTCTTCGAGATTGTCTGAGTCACTTTGAGGTGGAGAGCCGTGGTAGGTAACTGTACGGGTCGTATCTGATGTATTATGTGGCCTATGAATGGCTTGGACAATAGATGAGTAATTTGTAACTTGCGAGGAAACAAGACGTGGAGGCGGAACTCTGCATCTAAACAGACAGAACGACAGACAACGTCATCATCACCCATACTTTCTATTCATAACATTTTCTATTTTGTACCCTACACTGTACAGGGTGAGCAGAAAATTTTTTAAACAAGAAAAATAGTGAAAACCGTTTTGAAAATGTTAAATATTATATTCAAACATTTATAACTCTCAAAATGCTAAATAAAATAAAAACACTGAAAGATACTATGTCTCCATTAACGCATTGAAGTTAGGAGTAACAAAAATGTATGGACTGAGTGGTACTTTAAATCTATGGTAGTGAGCAGTGTGGGAAAACTGAGAAAAGTACAGTTTAGTGCAGCCCCTAAATCATGACACGTTCTCTGAGTACAATCTGGACTCTTAATTTTCTCAAGCAAGCTAGCTGAACTATATTTATAATTCCTTTTTAAAAATTCCTTACTAGCCAAATGGCTTTCCTTAAAATATAATTTATCTTTTTTATAATAATAATTTTTTTTTTTTAGAAACTGCTAAAACTTTTTTGATTAAAAACTAATAGAAAATCCCTTAACTGTGGTGTACAACTCAGTAAAATATTGAAATCTTGTGCATTGTAAATATACTCATAGGACAGGAGTTATACCTATCGGCTGATTCTGATGTGGGATGTGGACCTCTGGATCTATCCTCGGAGGATTTGTTTCTGTACGATGATTTTCTATCGGCAGGATATGCCAATTCTTCATACAGCTGTCTATATCTTGTTTCACTATCCATACGTGTTCCTCTCCTTCTATCCTCTCCTCTAGGATCATTAGACGATGATTTCCGTTCCTGATGTTCAGGCTCTTGAAATCTTGCTTTTTGCGACTCCCCTCTTGGATCATGAGAGGATGGCCTCGTCCTGCCACTTTCTTCATCTTTGAATCTTGGTCTCTGACCTCCTATAACACACATTAATGTTATTTGATTAAAGTTTTCTAACAGGGTCATCTAATGACAGGTTGTCTAACAGACCGAACTTCTGGTTTTCCTGGCCCGCATAACCAATTTAGAGTTGAGCCCCTCAAATAACAACCTACTCACGTAATAATCAATATGGTACGAGTCAGAAGAAAATCGTATGTTAAATGTACATCAAATATGTCGTTTGTTGATATGTACATCAAATTAAAGATAACTGATAGGAAATACAATGCCACAAACTCAAACGGACAACTTAGTAAAAAATTGCAGCCGTTCAAAGATTTCTTTAATTTACCATGATACGCTACCTCCTCAGGGTGCCCACTACAGGTCAGAAGAAAATCATAAACGTAAGTGTTTACGCCAGAAGATTATTCATTTTGTTATGGTTGCAAGATGGATCAACCTATGATTCATGACGATGAAATACGTTGACCTGAAGTTACATGTACCAATGAAGATAATGCAAACACCGAGCCATGGAGGACCTATTCATTGTGGTTAGGAGGGAATTGTTATAATCCTGAAGAGTATTCATTTCTTTGTATAAATATTCAATATCCTAGAAGTAATCACATTATATATACAGTGTGTAAATTAAGTATGGAAACAAATCTGTATTTTTAAAACCGAAATAGATAGAAATATTCTATTTGTGGCAATAATAGTTAACAAAGATTCCGCAATTTTTCACATGAAAAATATTTTTTTACCCCCCTAACAGGGTAGGTGGTAGGGGGTGACTTATTTTTTTCAAATAGCAACCCCTATTGAGTGACCCCTCATTTTGAAGGGTTTGTCAAAAGAAACACAATGACGCAAATCCGAGGTGAATATCTCACTCCTAGCTAACATGGCGGATATTCCAAAATGGGCTTTTTTTTTACAAAAATTAAATTTTTCATTACCCACCATTTAGGCTAGGGGTGAAATATCTACCTCGGGTTTGCGTCATTCTTTTTCTTTTAACAAACCCTTCAAAATGAGGGGTCACTCAATAGGGGTTGTTGTTGAAAAAAATAAGTCACTCCCACCCCCTACCCTGTTAAAGGGGTTGAAAAAATATTGTTGATTAAAAAAATTGCGGAACCTATGTCAACAATCAATTCCACAAACAGAATATTTCTATCTATTTCGGTTTTAAAAATACAGATTTCTTTCCATTATTTGTGAAATTTGTGCTTTTCACGTACAATAAATCAAATTTTGGAATATCCGCCATTTGGGCTAGGAGTGAGATATTCACCTCGGATTTGCGTCATTGTGTTTCCTTTGACAAACTCTTCAAAATGAGGGGTCACTCAATAGGGGTTGCTACTTGAAAAAAATAAGTCACCCCCTACCACCTACCCTGTTAGGGGGGTAAAAAAATATTTTTCATGTGAAAAATTGCAGAATCTTTGTTAACTATTATTGCCACAAATAGAATATTTCTATCTATTTCGATTTTAAAAATACAGATTTGTTTCCATACTTAATTTACACACTGTATATTAGGCCTAGGCCTATACATAATGTGCAGGAATAAAATAAATATATCAAGAAGGCCATGGAGAAGACACGGAGAATAGGCAAAGAGGACCGAGACACTGTCTTGGATATTGTACCAGTAAGTAAGCATCGCCATTTTTATTCTGTGTTTTCCAAGTCCTTAAGTATTTTTATGCTCATATAGTTGCATTTATTCTACCTGGCAACATAAACTCAGTTATTTAACTTTGTGTTTATGTGCATGTTATAGTATTTTAATCAGTTTACAAGAGAGAAATCAATTTTTTTTCAGCCCATGAGTTTGGCCCAAAGAGGCAAAGAAGCCTTACAGGAAAATTCAGGTCTGCAAAGACAATGACTATGAATTACACACTTCCAGTTCATCTAACTCTTTTTTAAGAAAAACCTTCCTACATGGGAGTGAAGTTCCTGAACCTAAAAATACCAAAGACAATAAAAGGCCCTAGCATAAGCAGCACCAGACAACGCTTATCGGCTTGGCTTGTGGAGAGACCATTCTACACAGTTCAGGAGTTCATGAACTGGAGAACATCACCGATGTTCCAGTAAGAACTAAACAACCCTCATCGTAATAACCATCACCACTGACAGCGCCTCAAAGCCCAACAACTTTATGCTGTTTTATATTTAAATCTCTGTAATGTTTTACGCGTATTCTGTACTCTATGTTCAAGAATCAAGTATTCTGATTCTGATAATATATTGTACTGATTTTAGTAAGCATAGGTTGATGTGCCCATCAAATTAAAGGTATTTGCTAATAGAATAAAATGCCGCAAATTTGGGCTGAAAAGGACAACTAAGTCAAAAATAACAGCTGTTCGAAGATTCTTTCAAGAAATCTTTAAACAGCTGCCAATTAATTGGTTGTTTTTCTTTTTACTCAAATTTGCGGCTTTGGATTTTAATAATAAAGACCTTTAATTTGATGTGCAAGATTTTTTTGTGACTCCTAGTGGCCATCTCCCTGAGGAGGTAGTGCATCAATTGATGTTTTTAAATGATTTTTATTACCAGTAACTTGGTTCCAAGTTTGGTAGCTCTGTCTGCACTATTTTTTGAAATATTTAACAGTTCCGGGACTTTTTTCTCCATCAGGTACATTTACCTATAAACAGCAAATGTCAGGGTGTCCACCAGGCCAACCAGAAAAAAAATTATGAGTAATTCCAGTTAGTTCAGGTCATACTTTACATACCAAACTTTCCAAAATGTGTTTTTGCGCCAACTCCCGCAATGCTTGTTTTAGAGCCAACACAGTTTGATATTTTAGTTATCAAAATAACGTTACTCAGTTAAAGGAACAAAATTTGTCATTACTGTAATATTGCCTGATACAAGTATGCAACTTTTATATATTACTCTGATTTAATATTACGATCAGAAAATTAAAAACTAAATCTTTAGCGTGGCATTTATGAATAACTCAATGAAAATTTGCTATGTGTCGATAGCAAAATGTATCGATTCTCACTACAGCTAGCTGAAACATCAATTCTGGATACCAATGATATAATTTTTTTTATTAAAAAAATTTGTGTATGGGTTTACACCAATCCTTATCTATAAACTTCCATAAAGTAAGTAATTTTGGAGTTAGGGCCTATTGGTTGTTTTTAAAGTAGCCTAAGAAAATATTAATGCAGCAATGAAAACTTCTGACTAGCCAATTCAAGGTTTAAACCCTTCTAAACACGTTAAATAAATCCATATGCTTTCCCATGTATTATGCAACCGATTTTTTGTTTTGTTTTTTTTTTTTTTTTGCTATTTTACCCAATCGATTTCATAATCTTAATCTAAAATTAAAGGTATACACGCACAGATTTGCCATCAAGCATTGGCATTCATTTATGTGACGTATATTTTGAGGAATGCACAAAACTTCCTCCCTGTACATTCCTATAGGATTTAAATTTGGTTTTTCTTTTCCAAGTTCGTTTGGCTCTTCAACCTGACCGATTTTCTTAAATGTTGTCTTAAATAAAGGTATGCATGCACAGATTTGTCATCAAGCATCATCATTAATATACTGAATTACTCCGCCAAAAAAAAAATGTGAATATTTTTTGAATCTTTAATTAAAGATGTATTTCACCAGTTATAATTTATTACATTATCCTATACCTTTTAGTATAAGAACCTTCAGTAAAACACCAGCTTTCATGTGAACTATTGATTATTAATATCGGACATACCTAAAGCACGCTGGTGAATCACGAATCAACAATTATAATTATTTTAAGACTTATCTGCAATCAATGATACGTAACAGATTTTTTTTTTAGTAATTTTATATGTCTTGGTCTAAAAATACTCCAAGAAATAAATTCTTTCATTTGAGATATTGATCGTTTGAATCAGTTCAGTTCAAGATACTGTTTTATTCAATAAAAAACATTGAAATTTTCGATCAACCAAACTCGAGGTAATATCGTGATCATCTATCGCTGTTGTAGAGACATCATCATCGTCTCCCGCAATCACTGCAAAATCCTAAATATCTTTCTCAGTTACAGAAACATCACCACTGTTTTCCGTGGTCTTCACAAAATCCTGAATATACCCCGCCATCAGGCAAAATTTTGATTATCTCTCGCGGCCGTGTGGACATCATTATTGTCTTCAACGGTCGTGTAGACATTGTTATATTCTGATTATCCACTGCAGCCATGTGGACATCATCACCTTCTTCTGCGATCGTGGAAAATTCATTGATATTGTTCCGCAGGCGTGTGAACATCATAATTGTCTCCCGCGATCACAGAAACATCATCGTCGTCATGCACGATTGCAGTAAATTGAAAAATTCAGGTAAAGTACAAAATTCAACAATAATTCCCGGGTTTTCTTGGTTTAAAAAATTACGCATAATTCACGGTTCTCCAGGTCGGTTGACACCATGTTATATACAAATCCTGAATGGTGTTTATTGAGAAAACACAAGAGGCTTTGTCAACCAAGAAATTGTTCAGTGTTGATGTTTTTTACAAAGGTGGGTTGACATATACTACGACATCATTTACCTGTGGAGCTTTTGATGTTGGAGTTTGAAAGTAACGGTTGACTTTTGCTGCGGGTAGTATCAGGGGTAAACAAGTTGTCCAATGGGTTCTGGTAGGTTTTAAAGAAATTTCTGGTCTCAGTAGACAATTTAATAGACTTTTTTTCGTGGCTTTCTTGGGTGTAATTTTTTTCACTAGGAAGTTCTTTGATAGGGTAAGATGTGGAAGGTCCAGCACCATCGTTTATTTTAGGAGACTGTTGGCCTTTCTTACCCTGAAACATGAGAAAGTCAACGTAGAGCTGAATTCATCATAACAATCTACAGTACCAGAAACTATTAAAACAATCCAATCAGGTAAAATATTAAAAAATAAAGTTTATAATTTTCTAATAAATAAAGATAATGACTGTTTAGATGTTTTTTTTTTATTATTAGTTTAAGTTCTCTAAATAATATATATTGTAATAGTTTTTAAGTTCAATGTAAACCTCGACTACTTTGCCTGTTTACCCAGCTATATGCAGGCTTGATGTAAACATTTATGTGAAATAAAAAGTAGAGTATTGTCTAGAAAAAGAAAACTTAGGTAATCCAAGAAGAAAAAATACTAAGCAAAATCATAAGATGGCCTATTGCTAGCACAGCCGATCTTTGATGAATCAATTTTTCATCAGAATTTTAACAAAATTAACATACATTTCAAATAAACAATGTACAAGTTATCAGCCTACTAAGAATATAAATAAAACAATATATATAATTACCTTGTTTAAATATTTTCTGTGAATAGCAACCAAAATCTTCTCAATTTTTAGTAAAACTTTCAAGCCTACTGGTTTGCTGAAAAGAAAAAAAATAGGTAAAAATTAGTTTGTATCGAAGGATAGTAAAATTAGATCAGTGGCTGACAGCTTATTAGCTTGGGAAAGGGTAAAAGCTTCAGAGTCTAGTATTGGTGAGAGAGCTGTCGCCTGGGCAGTTACTAACATAATGAAAACTAAAGCAAAATTTGGTTGAAGAAACGGGCAGACTTCAAAAATAAAAACAAACAAATAAGAAAGAAAAAACCTGTTGGGAAAAAATCCTAAATGTGCCTGCAAGAGGAAAAATAAAAGTGGTGAGCGGCTCTATTTGAGACCTTATACCGGATCTGGTAGTAAAAGTAAAAAAAAAAAAAAATGTAATCATAGGAAATAATTGAAAGACTTCCAGAAAAACCATTTAGTAGTTTGGATATTATAAAACTTGCTGCAGATTTAAAGTTGCCTTATTTTAGAGGAGTCTTCTTGTACATAGACACAGATAGTCTTATTGTACACAGAAACAGATAGTCTTCTTGTACACAGACACAGATAGTCTTCTTGTACACAGAGTCTTCTTGTACACAGAGTCTTCTTATACACAGACACAGATAGTCTAGTATATGATACAGAAGGCTTTGTGTTACTAAAAAAGTCAGGAAAAATCGGATCCATCAAAACCGGATCCAGCCCAAGATCCGGATTTTTTTAGATCCGATCGGGCGCCGGTTCTAGCTCTGATCCGGCAGATCCGGTAGTTTGATATCCGGATCCGACCATTACTAAAAATATGAAAGTAAAATAAGTCCCATTATTTCAAGTAGAGCTTTCTCGAGTTGTGACTGTGAAAAGAAAATGCCTAGATGTTGTATTAAGTTGATATTGGGGGAGAGAGGGTGGTGAGCTCTCTAATGTTTTTAGAGGGGGAGAGGGTGCAATTAGAATTAATTTCCTACTACTGGAATGCGAATATTAATTAATTAATAATGTTGTCGACCAGAATTAATCATGTGCGTAAGCAAATTGTGGCTACTGCGATGACATTACCGATCACACGGTTGTTTAATGTATTTTTGTGTATTGTGCAATGGCTGTTTTATATTGTTTGTTTAAGATAAAGCAATAGCAGATTACCTGATGATGTCACTATGTTGACGAAACGTGTAGCAATCTACAACAAACTTGGAATGCCGGAGGTTGCAAGCTCTAAATCAATCATATGCGTACTCCAATCGCACACATTCAAGTTGGACCCCAACAGTACTTAGCCCATCAACATCCACACAAAAAGAGACATACGAAAATGCAATAGTGAATTTATGTTATCACTGGTCTGAGTTTGCAGCGCTCTGTGATTAAAGAATTTAGATAGATGGATAAACTTAGATTAAAATGTTGATGGAGATGGATAAATAGAGAAAAAAACTAGATAATGTTTCTTAGTGGACTGTATTTCTTCAACTGAACAAAAGTAAACAAGATATAACATAGTTAATATGAGACCAGCTGTTAGAAACAGTAAATTAGCAAAATAACTTCAAACACTCTGACACTACAGGGATTATTGAGTCAGAGAAGTCAACATATAAAATCATAACAGGAGTAAAATTTAGATCTTTTCTTAGATAGGGTAAATCTGTATATGCCATGTGAAGCAACTAACAGGTAATTTACATTAGACAACAAATTTTAACTTGGCAGGAAGAAGTGTCCAGCACTAAGCAAAGGAAAGCACAGTCGCAAAATAACTGTACTATTCAAGAATACTTACTCATTTCCGGGATTATCGATCAGTTTGTAAACAGCAAGGAGCCTTTTTTGACATGCATTCTTTTCTCCTGAGCCGCCTTTGTCTTTCTCAATACAGTCGGCGATGCGGCGCATGACAGGGATGTAGCGTTGAAGTTCCCGCATTTTTTCCCAGTACCTCGTCTCTTCAGCTTCCTCTGTGGTATCAAATTAAATTGAGAAAAGTTTAAAAATTCTTCAGTCATTTAATTGTTGATCAAAATAAAGTAGTATTACCAAATCATAAGTTACAATTATTGAAGAGAAAAACGAAGATTCCTAAACCACATACAGTAGGTCACATACAGCATGCAGGATTCAAATTCAAAATTCCAATTGAAATATATTTATTTATGATAATACAACATCTTGGCCTCTTCAAGTTTACAAAACATGGCGGCAAGGTCCAAAGTGAGACACAAAAATTAACAAACAAAATTTAATTTTTTTTTCTTTTTCTTTTTAGCAAAAAAATGTTTATAGCGCTACTAATTCCATGAAGGTTTGTGGCAAGCACCTGTGATTTCATGCAAGCATGCAGGATGATTTCAAAATTAAACTAAAGAACTTTGTTGATACAGAAGGCTTTATTTATTTGATATTTTAAAGGATCTAAAAATGTATAACATTGCCAAGTGTAACGTGAAGAACGATTAATAATAGCCTACATAATCATGACCATTGTAGCCTACTTAGTGTGCTACTGCACACAAATGTAAAATTCTAGTCGTACAGTTTCAACACTTTTATACCGTATACATTAAATTATTCTAAACTATTTATGTAAATGTATTTAACAGATGTGAATCGAGGTCTTTTGATTTGTATGTGAGTGTGTGAGGTTTAGTGGGACTTTTATGTATAGGCCTAGTCCTTATATTTAAAAATAGATGTAAAAATAATTCAGCATGAATCTTAAAATGTAATAAATTTGTTTATGAAAGCTTCATGCCAGTTCTTAACAAATACAAATTTTGTTTAGCTAATTTCTATGAACAAGGGGTTCAAAAATATGTATATTCAAAGTGAAGGAAATAAGTTTCAGCGCACTCCATATATAGCCTTTAAAGGAGTTACAAGCTAGGCCTAATTAATGATAAATCAAACAAAATAAATTGGACACATCAGCTGTAAGTAAAGGTTTGGTGGCACGATTCACAACAGTTGGTGCGGTCCTCCAAAGCAGAACGTTTTAAACACCCGTATCAGTTTGAATACGCCTACTGTTATTACATTGAATCGTTTTAGTAATTCGGTTATTCTATGCGTTCTTACAACCGATGCACCGAATATTGACGTCGCAACTTTTGTTTATATAATGCATGACGTTTTGTAGTGTTACCGGATCTGTTTGCATCACGGAAAATTTTTGTTCAGCGAATAAACTCTTTAACTTTCTACAGAAATATTTTTTGGAAAAAAAACTATTTTATTAACGTGTTATGTAGCATTTTCTGCGGAAACTTACACAGGTTGTGTGTTAAACTTAAACCTAACTTTGCCTGTGAAAAGAAGTACCGGTACCTAATTTTTCATTTCCCAAAAAAAAATTTTTTTTTGTCTTTCTGCAACAATGTCGCTCTGTTGTAGTTGAATTTAGTTCCACTTTGGGAGTTCGGTCGGTCACTGAATATTTAGTGTGTTCAACTTCCAACTTGAAGTGTCATATATTTCTAGGAATTTTACATTTCAGATTAAGTGTTATATTACACATTCCTTCTTTCCCGCAATTTACAGTAGGCAATTGTAACCGAGCATATGATAAAATTTGTATTATATTTGTCCATCCACATGGGCTACGGTACGGACCTATTTGTTGGGAACGTGCCTATCAAAGCATGAGGTGAGCCGGTACAGTACAAAGGTAAAGTGTGCTGATAAAAAGTAGTGGCAGATACCAGGATCTGAACCGACATTGCTGCCTTGGGCCTAGAGTCTGTGGCACTACTATCTACAAGGATTGGCTGGTCAAGCAAGTTCAGGAGCTGAGACCTTTCAGGGAAATCTCGCTACGGCTTGTCCCAGCCAGAGACCTTGTGAAAGCTGTGAAGGTATATTTATGTGCCCAGCCCTACAAGGTCTGCGTATGAGATCCCTCGTACGAAAAACGACTTTCCAGGGGTGAGTTGCAAAGACGGAGGATAGCGGATGCTTTAGCCAAAGGCAAAAAGGTGCTATCCAGAAGTGAGAGGAGGCTGGTGTGGGCTGCCAAGCACCCTAACTCTGCTGCCTGTAAAGCCAGTTCCTCCGGGAACTAGGATGCTGGGAAAAAGCAGGGCAAGGGTGGTACCCCCAAAGCTGACTCTAATGAAGCCTCCAGGAAGAAAGGTGGAGGCTGTGCTGACACAGCCACAAAGGATTGGCTGGTCAAGCAAGTTCAGGAGCTGAGTCCTTTCAGGGAAATCTCGCTACGGCTTGCCCCAGCCAGAGACCTTGTGAAAGCTGTGAAGGTATATTTAGGTGCCCAGCCCTACAAGGTCTGCGTATGAGATCCCTTGGCCTATTGATGGGAGATCAAAGGGAAGAACAGGTCACCATAGTTAAAAGGCTCTCACGGTTCACCAAGGACCTGAGATTTGACGGAGAATGAGGATCTGTGAACGAGGGTGCACAATAAGCTGTTCTAGCTGCGATGCAATCCCATGGTAACTTGTAAGCCTGGCCCTCTATTAAAAAAAAAAAAAAAAAAAAAAAAAACTACTATCTGCTCAGATTCAGCTAAAAATCCAGATTTTTTCGATTGTACAAATGAAATAAATTACCTACCCTTTTAGTCTGTATTTAAATTCTATCATCTTGTTTTAGAATATGTATAAATGTATATGTGAAGTTTCATTGTAGTTTTAGTGAATTTCCCATATAAGGAATAAGCTATTACCGTAGGTCTTGTGGTAAGACCTGGTAGCAATTTGCTTTTTCGTTTTGAGGTCCCCAGAGGTCAAAAACACAATCTTTGGTTCTTGGCTGGGCTGGCATTGCGAGTAAATCCCCGTCACTCATTGCCCAAGAATTATGTGTTATGTAGCGAAAGCAAGTCTATTTAGGTTGGTTGAGCTTGCAATCAGAAATTGAATGATTTGAGTTATCTGAAGTAGAGAAATTGGGTGGATTTGTAATATGAGTCACGATACGGCGCGCGGCAAGGCGACACAACAGTTATATAGTTATAAGGGGAAAAGTTTGTTTCGATACTTTAAGTTGGCCGATTTTCATGGGACGAACATGAAAATATATGATTCATGATCACTTTAAGTATTATTTTCTGATACGATGAATTATTTCTGATATTCCTGTTCCAACCTCTTGGTCAGGTAGTTTTCTAGGTTGAGACAGCCTAGGGGTTGGTCCATGCAGTGCGCGCCGGACCACGTGAAAGCTCCAATGAGAAACAATAGCCCTTCGCCAAGTTGTCCAGCAAGGACGCCGCGCAGCACTGCTTGTCCGGCGTAGGGGTGTCCGGTGGTAACTTAACTAGCACTGTGAGGTAAATTTGTCGTGCAGCACGCGCCAGGCATCGGGTGAAAAGACTCATCTAGTCCCATAGCCCAACGCCGAATCCGGCGGGCGCCGCACAGTGCGCACCAGATCGTGTGATAAGGGCTTTACTTTTTGCATTGAAAAAATTAGGTAAATCGCTGGTTCAGTCAGTAGCGTGAATGGCTAAAAATCCGTAACAGAGGTGTAATGGGATTCTGATGCCTGCCGCATAATGTGCACTTTTGTACTACCATGGCTCACCAGTTGCTTTGATAGATACGTTCTAGGCACAGGCCTGAGACCTATGTGGATAGGCAAATGCATAGTTAAAAGAGGCCGCCAAACTCATTGAAAAGAATAATGTGTTTGATATTCAATGACACTTTTATTTTTCTGCGGAAAAATAAATAATATAGATACAAGACTTTTTGTGTTCATTGTTTCACTACTCGTTGAAAATGTGTTGCCAATAAGCAAAAGTTGTAAAACTACCAATTTAAAAAATATAGGCAATTTTGTAGACAAAAGATTATAGTAGGCCTACTCCTATGTAGGGGAGTGCTTGTTTACTAAACAATTGATGTATAGATTTTTTTATCACTAAACATAATACATGCAATAGAGCTTGTAATTTTACAAGCAGAATAAGTTAAGAAATAAATAATCGCAGCATAATACATTGTGTGCAGAACATCAATTCAGGGATATTCTTTGTTGATTAAATTTCAAAAATAAATCCACACAACTACTAAACAATAGATATAACTGAAGTACAACCATGCATTGTTGGTTGTACTCACCAATTGTCGCTTCAGGATTCTCTTTTGAGACATTCTTTGAACATGGTGTTTCCTTTTGCTCATTGAATATATCAATGAGTCCTACGTGGATGCATTAAAAAAATTCAAAAATCTGTTTTAAGTTGGTTTATAATAACTCTGTACACAAGATGCCCTTAATAGTTTGTTTCTTGTGTACTAACTTATATTTAGTACTCATATTAGGCCTATTCATCCACGGGATTTAGTACTCATATTAGGCCTATTTATCCACGGGTTTAGATAACATAATAAACCTAAGTTAACAATTTTTTTTATAAAATCAGTTAAAAGAGGATCTATTAATAGGTTCTAAGCATTCAGTGTTTTAAGTTCGGAATATAAATTTTTGAGACACAAAAAGGTCATAGTTTCATATCACTACTGGCAACAGCAACCTACATAAAAAATGTGCAATTATTGATGAAACCTCGGTGTGTCCTTTAGGACGGTTTCCAAAGATTTCATTTGGTGGGTAATTGCGAAGGTTTTCAAATCTTTAACAGTAATGGAGGAGAACTTTAGTAATTTCACAAGTATTTAATTTTTTTGTATTTTTTCTGAAGTGGTTAGAAACACATTTTCAGACTTGATTTTCAACCTTTACATTCCACATGGGTGTTTCATATACATTATAAACAGTAGCATTACCGGTACTCATCCACAAGTAAGATAATAGGTTTAACTTTTATTCAGTGTAACCTAGGCCTACTTCACAAACCTGCAATCGCAAGCTGAGAAAAAAGGTTTTCAAGAAACATGCTTGCCTATTAATATATAGAATATTATAATCTGACAATTAAATAAAGTGTTTAGTATTTGTTATGATAACCTCTAAAATTTATTGGAAACTACATGACCTTCCGACTAATTTTAACTATCAAAAGTTACTACCTTCAAGAAGAAAATTTGAATCAACTTACCCTCCATCTCCACCTCATCATCATAGTTATTGTCATCAAGAGTGTCATCGTCATTTTCTTTTTCCTTGTCACCCATCATTTTGACTCCATTAGTTCATCTGAAACCCCATACATTTAATGGCAAACAGAACCAACAATATTCTAGATACCTTAAATTGATTGATCGAGTTAGGCGTACTCCAAATAAACACTTGGATAAACCAATACTTTATAGATTGATTAACTGTGTGGTAGTAGAGCTTAATACCTTATCTTTAACCAAACCATTTTTATATTTATAGGTATTTGTCACAGTTAAAATTAAATCAGTTAGAATTTAAAAAAATAAACTTAGTGTATCATCATAGAACTAATAAGTTATTATGTTAAAAAAAGTCACTAAACCAAATGCATAAATCGATAACCTTTGTTTTAAATAAAAACATATTTCTAAGATTCTAGTGGATAGGCTAGTAGTTTTGGAAGTTAAAAGGTCAAAATGTAAAAACTACAAGATAGCCTAGCCTGCACAGTAACTTGACCGGTGCTAGTGGAACGGAATTGAATGAAATATATGATGATAAGTGTTAATAGGCCTATGTAGTAGGCAACTGAAAACATTATATTTATATCAAGGTTATTTATATAGATACTCAGTCCTAGTAAAATGCATTTGGAAGAGCAACTGAAGTAAGCCACTAAATAAACAGACGGTTAAGTTTATACTGCAAAATGTCTCAATCAAATCCAAGTCTAAACAGCATAATACCCGCTTTACAAGCAGTACCCACACAATAGGTCGTGACAAACAAAAAAGGAATAGAATTCCTTGCTTGTTTGTAGAAGGAATAGTAGCAAGGTGCAGTATTCAAATAATATATGGTAGACTATTCAAAATTCATGTTACTTGCCCCGGACTGTATTGTCAAGACAATAATAGGTTTTACAAACCTCCGTCAAATAGTTCAACGATTATTATTGCTCATCAAGTTACATGTTTCGTTGCGAAGGCAACGTTCTCAAAGCTTGCGACTCGTCAAAAACACAATTTAAACAAGGACGAGACAAACATATAAACATAAAAATGGTACGAATACGAATACACATTTTCTGATTTAGCCTGGCGTGGCGCAGGGTTGGTAGCAGACTAGAGGTCTATGTCAGGTCGTCTCCTCTCATACTACTATCACTCATGTTATCAGGTCTTCAATCAACTGTTCTTGATTGTAGAATCGTATTAAAAATCGAGTGAGAACGTAACTTTAATTTTTCGTTAAGGATGTGTTCCTTACACTGTTCGTTATTATAAATTATATAAATCTCAAACTGCTCCAGGGTGTCAAGTTTAATACCTTTTACACAGAAGAGATGTTTCTAAACCTTTGTTAATACATTCATTGAGTGATTTGAGTCGACCAAGTGTTTAGCAAATTTAGGCTGATTTTTGTTTATTAATTTTTGGAGTTGGCCTGTGTTCCTTGTAGCGGGTTTCAAATGCCTGATACATCTGGCCTATATATTTGCATGGAAAGTGGATGGTTAATGCTACAATCCAATTTGTTATTGTTCTTCGTGATAGTGAGGTCTAGGAAATGTATATATAGCATCGGTTAGTGCTATGAGTACTATTTTAGCACTTAAAGAGGCCTATGAAATTAATAAAGACAACATTATATGAGGAATTTCATAACTACTCCATGGTAACGCGCTACTGTGGTATCGAAACCATAAAGACTCATGTCACACTTATGAGTCATTCCGATCAAGTTTCGAGCTGCAATACCTAGCCCCGGGATAGGCCTACCAGCGAAATCAAGACAAAGAAATTCAGCGCCAGACTCAAGGGGACAACCAAGCTTTCAGAAACTTTGTTGTGGCTCTAACTACTCTCATGCGGCGCAAGGGAACTTTAAGTCTCCACGAACAAATGAATATTTTGTATACAAATATGAGACTCAAATATAAGTTGACCATGAGGAGACACGACTTCTTCTCGATCGACGAAATGCTCAGAACACATTGAGGGCTATTTTAGGAAAAAATCACTTTTCCTCCCCCTCCACTGGCAGCGTTAGTCCTGGAAACTGCTTATCACCCAAGACGAGGATGCAATATCTTTATATCTCCTCTGATATCTCGGATGGGTAATGTTACCAGGACCTTTACATCTGCAAACCCACGACTTCACTCGGAGCGTGAGTGCAAGGTTCATCCGAATAACATGCGAGAAAAATCTTATCTCCACATGTTGGAACTGTGACAAGAAAGGTCATAGGTAGGGCCTATATTTTGTGTCGTGACTGCCGTATGTCACAAACTTTAAAATGTTTTTACTGCAAAAAGGTTGGCATCTAAATGTAGGCTACGATTGTCGATGTTGGGGAAACGACAGAAAGAGGTAGTCTGAGTCTGCAGATAGGGTTAATATGCATTTTAGGGTTCGCACGATTTTTGAATTTTTTTTTTCATTCTACTCGAAATTCAATGCTGATTTCGAAAATGACGTTCTTTTTCCGCGGAATTAACCATAACGCGGAAAAACAACCAAAACATTTTTTACCAAAACACGTCATGTGAGTACTCAAATTACCCGGAATATTAAGTAGATACTATGCAAGTATTTTTTTGGATCCGACGTCAAATAAGCGAGATTTACAGGAAAACATGATACTACCAGCAATAACTCCAACTCACTAGAGCAGACAGGTGGGAATTTGGGGTTTTGGGTGGGGGAGACATCTTACGTAGTTTATCATTGTAATTTAATGTTTAAAAAATAATGTGTAATTAGTCAGGAGAATTATGGGAAATATGCTTGAAATTGGGAAATTTTTCTGTAGGCTACCAACCTATTCATTAGCTGTAGTAGCACTGCCATGTAGCTTGTTAGGTTAGGTTAGGTTAGGTTGATTAGGTTGGGTTAGGTTGGTTAGGTTAGGCTGGTTAGGTTGGTTAGGTTAGGGTAGGTTAGGTTATGCTTAGTATCATCCCTTTTACCTGTTAAATTAAAACACAAACAATTATAATAAAATAATGACAAGCTGATCCTGATCAGCTGGTATTTTGACACAGACAAAAGTTGGAGCATAAATCCAAAATAGCATCACAGATTTACATGAAAATCTCGCTTATTTGACCTCGGATACAAAAAGTTCTTGCATAGTCGTGATCTGCTAAATATTACAGTTAATTTGAGTACCCACATGACGTGTTTTGGTAAAAAAGAATTTTTGGTAGTTTTTCCGCGTTATGATCGTTTTCCTCAGAAAAGAACGTCATTTTCGGAATCAGCGTTAAACTTCGAGTAGGTAACTTATGATGAAAAAAAATGTCAAATTCGCATGCAATCCCTAAAATGCATATTTAACCCTTTGAGTGCCAACGTCCGGGGAACCGGACGTTTTTAAAACGAGCCAAAAGTGCCAACGTCCGGCCGACCGGACGTTTTTAGAACGAGCCAAAAGTGCCAACGTCCGGCTGACCGGACGTTTCGTAATGATCGAACAGCTGTCATAACAACCGAATAAATACTCGGATTCTTTTAACCCATATATTAACATTGAGTCGAAAGTTGCTAGATGCGATACATCGATTTTCGTTGGTCGAAATATCGAAAATTCGATTTTTACGAAATTTTAACCTAAAAATCGCCAGATCGCGCTCGGCATTTTTAGCGCGACCTTCGGGAAAAATCATCGGCATTTTTTGAGCGTTACTTTTATTTCTCGCCTGGCACTCTAAGGGTTAACGCAGATAGGGCCTAACGTGGAACAGCACTTGCCGTTAAGATAGGCCTACCTAGTTCTAAAGTAATATGAGCAAGGCCAGCCTAAATCCATTTAACTTAAGCTTCTACGATCACTAAACAATATCATCATGCAATTTGTTGTAATTAGGTGGTGGCATTTGGAATAAATTAATAAAATAGGCCTTAACATACGAGAATTGGTACAAAATCTTGAGGGTAAAAAATAAATGTAGGCTAGGCCTGCCTAAGTTATTAATCAAACAAATTATGGCGTAGGCAAGGCCTGGCCTACAGCCTAGGCAAGTATAAATTGACTAATCACGACAATGGTACTTCATATGCCTGACGAAGTTATGAAATCTAGAATGGCCAAGGTGCAAATGAATTGGTGATTGACAATATTCAGCAAGTTATCATAAACTCACCATGATGCATCTGCTGAAGTGCAAGTTAGGAACTAATGTTTCTTGATTACTATAGGCCTAATGCAGGAAGATATACCGTTAGGCCTAGCCTATGCCTAGGACAAGTGTTAGCTGTAGGCCTAACTATCTAACTTCAATTCAATTCAATTCAATTCAATTCAGTTCAAACTTGAACGTGGATTTCCGTAAAGAGAAATAGTTAGGCACACCTGTTTGCCATTCAAAGTAAAATGCGACTCGGATCACTATTGTCAGCCCATTCCCTTATCATGTCTCCTCAGTATTATCATGAAATCCAAGATGTCCGCTTCCTATGAAACACGAGTAGGACTGTACAATATAAACATACAATAAAAGACAATTATCGAACTATAATTATAAGCAAGAGTAAGGAGGTTGAGGCAAATTTCTAGTAAGCAATAAATGTGACGAAGTAAGTTACATGTGAACGAAAGCCTGTTAAGCCTAGTAGGTAATCGACAGTGTAGGCCTACTAACTATAAACAGATTATTGCTTACTCGTGTTCAATTCATAGGATAATCGTGCTTCTCCTCTCTTCATTGAAACAATAATATGGAATAGTATATTTTAAAACTGTCAAATCAATTAAATACAACTAGCAATCCGTCTTCAAACAAGGTGTTACAAGAAGTTGATCAGTGATGATGAAGATGAAGAGAAAGAAACTAATGGAATTGTTTCACACACAATAAGGACTTTTTTTTAGATCATAGCTATGGAGTAAGGAAATACGAACGCCAGTTTTTTTTCACTATGCTTTGTGTGGTTATACAAGATGTATAATCAGTGTTTTTTCTTAATTCTCAAAATCTGTATCGTAAGTATTTAACCTGGATAAGATGGCTATATCTTTGCGAAACAATCTACATATTCCAAAGAATTCAACCACCTTAAAAAAACATCTTTATTATAACAGTATAGTGCTCATAAATGCATAGCAAAACTATCTAAAAATTAGTCAACCAGTGTTTAAAAAAAATCACTTCGAAAATTACTAGTGTCTATCCTAAATGTCTTAATCCTACTAAAACTACTTGTACTACCGACCGTGTCCGTGAGTTTATTGCTGACGGGTAGTCATGGGCATATAATGTCCAATGTCTATGACTACAAGTTAGTTTGTTTTTTTATAGTCTGCTCCAACTAACTAAACTATCCTGCTTTAATGGATCATAGCATTTCATTTCATTATTTCATTTCAATATCTTTATTCAATAATTGTACACTGTATATTGAATAGTGTCAAATTCCTTACCTAGTAGATACAGTTATGAGCTAAAATTACAATTGATACAATATTACAAGAGCATTGAAGACGTATTTAACAATTTCTCCAATTGTACACGCCCATGAGAAAAGTTGACAATTGTAAATTTCCACAATGGTTTTCTTTTCAAAACATCTTAGTAGTTTGGAGGTTCGAAACAATATTCTGCATAAAAAATCCAAGTCATTCCAGTCCCAACAAGACTACATCAACTTTCAACATCTAAAAATAATCTGTATATTCAACTTACCAGCCAATGCCACTCTAAATGTGTCTGAACAAAGTTGAGGAGAACATACCCTTCAAATAAAATATAAAATCCTTCTGGTCTTATGTTAACTGCCAAACATATGTGGATCTAGGCCCCAAAATGTGGGGGGGGGCTATACCGGGTCATCGGGGGGTCTGGGGGGTATAGAATACCCCTCAGTGTGGAGGGGGCGAAATTTTTTGAAAAAATATATAAGCTCCAAAGATGTATTTTAGGCTATTTGGAAATCAAAATAAAAGGAATTATGGATTCAGTGAACACGTTGAACATACTTGAAGGACCTTGTAATCGGCTAATTTACGAATTCCATTCAAGAACTTCACCCTTACACATAATGGGAAATAGCTGACATAAGGTAAAAGACAGGAACATACTAATCCAAACCAAATCCTGAATGTGTGTGTGTACTGTGTACCTAGGATTCTAAATTAATTGCTGGTTTGTAGCATATAACTCAGGTCTTCTCAGAACAGACGGAGTCAAGAACTTGACTTTGTCTATTGAGAGCTCCAACACCTTCTTGGTTATGGTACAAGACGTTATTTTCCACTACATAAAAAGTTAAAATTTAGGGTGTCTAGTTTATTTACTACCATTTAAAAATTCAAGTCCAATTCCAAATTTTTCAAGACTGGATTTTTCAACAATTAGTGATGTATTGATATCAAAATTTAGCGATTCTCAATTCTTGATACTAACGTCAATTTTTATAATTTAACCAAATTTTTGAATTCTACACCAAACCCCGTCTTTATGTCATATAGTATTAATATGTAATGAGCTGTTGGCCCGTCCTACGTACGGGAATCGAGCAGCCCTTTAAAACTTTATAGTTATATCAATATCTATTCCTAATTCAAGCTTAGTTTAAACAGATCAACATTTTTTGTAAAGACAAAGCTGCCAAGATGAATTAAAACTTGTGACCGTTGTTACTTTCCCAATCTTTCCTTAAAAAAGTCGAGTAGTAAAATAATTTTCATACGCTTTCTTTTGAAGACTCGTGAGCTTCGAATCGTATACATCAATGGTTATAGAATCTTACTTATTTCCTATAATATAATCAATGACAAAATCACAGAGTAAATAAACTAACCTCATAATCATAAAAATACAATATTTTTATATTCAACCAGCTGTTAGTTATAACAAATTATATTGCACTAAAACAAAATAAAAATTTTAAAGACTGCTAAAAAATAGAACATCTGGTATTTTTTTATGTATATTTTGAATGATCTCTCATCCTCTTACAGAATAAAATGAACTTATCAATGAGTATAAAATGCATTATACTTAGTAAAAATAAGTCAACCCTGCGTATGTCATTTTATTTTAATCCAAATGCTGAATTTTTTGTCAAAAACGCTGAATGTTTACAGCTGTTACATGAAACAAATGGTATTATACCAAAAGCTAGGTTAGGGTTAGCGTCGGCTGCTAGACTTTTTAAAATTTATAACTTAATTTCTAAAATACTGAAACCCTAAACTGAAATTATGGCTTTGACATTCCCTAGTTCTCAAAATTATCTTTCTTTCAACACAAAAATCATGAAAATCCATCAAATGGTTGATTCAGAAACGTGAAAAAAATCCTGTCACGTTTTAAAATATAAGATGGGGTGTTTCTCAAGTAAAGAAAAAATGTAGCAATAAAAAATTCTAACTAGCTCATTTGGATTTTTTTTGGATGACGGAAATCTTCCACGGCCAAGTAGACATCATCATTGACTCCACGGTCACGGCAACGTCATTCATCCGCGTCATGACCACCACATTTGATAGTTACAAAGTTTGTTCACATTTTTTCATGTCACGAGTTGCTACATTTGATGATGGATTATTTTTGGATGGAACATATTAATATATAACATCTTTATTTGTCTTTATTTCACAAACTCTTCATTCAGTGAATTTAGGCAAATTCTTAGTTGTATTAATCAAATTTAAGACACACTGGAAGTCGGCCCAAAGAAACTTTCTTGAAACTGGGTGTTCTAAATTCTTCTCCACAAAGTTCAAGGAGCGCGAACCTATTAAAACCCCAAGTAGTTCCAGACGAGGAACAGAGATGTTTATCTTAGTTTTAGGAGTTAAATGGCTTTTGGAAAATACAGGTTGGTTTTTTAAACCGCTCCGTTTTGCACACCAATATATACTACAGTTGCATAGCAAATGTTCGAAGCATCGGTGAAACAGTGTAACTCAATTGAGGTTGGTTCTAAACCAACATATCTTAGTATTGAAACATTTAGAAATGCCGACAATATCCCGTTTTGACAGACAGCTCTGCTTGTTCACGGGTCGCTTTACATGATATAATTATAACCTAATTTAAGGTTGTACTAAGTTTAAGGGAAGTATCATCTGCATACAACATGCAATTACCTTCAAGTCTGGTATAGAGGTCATTGATTGTCACTAAGAATAACAGAGGTCCCATAATGGAACCTTGCGGAACCCCGTGTTTTACAGCTAATAGTTTGGATGTGTATTCCAACTTACAACCTGTTGGCGGTCACTCAAGGTAGGATTTGAACAATCTCAGAGCACTGCCTTCTAGGTCATATTTTCCCAATTCCATGAGCAAAATTTCGTGTGACACGCAATCAAAAGCGCGAGAGAGGTCACAATGTATTACGGAGGTAGATTTCTTAGACTCAAAAGCATCAACAATTAATTGTACAATAGAATCAACAGCCAATATACCCATGTAGCACAGATGGTTGGGCCAACGTTGGCCAACTGTGGGACAGCTTCCACAACTAACCAACCGTTGTCCAACTGTATATCTCGTAGTTGGGCCAACCAATATTTACAACTGTGGACCAACATTGGTTCATTGTTAATGAAATACATTAATATGCATTGCTGGGTATCATACATCAAGCCAACCGTTGTCCAACCGTTTTTCACTCCGTTGGACCAACAAAAGATACTTTTGTTGGACCAACAATGGTCCATAGTTGAGTTTACACGACTTTCATTCTCTGGGTCTAGCTTTCACAACATAATTATAATAAAATATCTGGTTTTACAATACCTTTATCAGTTCCAAAAGTTTCCAAAAGTTTTTGGAACTGATAAAGGTATTGTAAAACCAGATATTTTATATATTACAGTTCCGGCGCTACAACAATGAATTTTAATAATTTTAATAATGCAAATATTTTTTAAATTAATATTCTTTAACTTATTTGCAACAATTTAAGGGGAAAGAGTAATTAATCATATAACAGGCAATTATAATAGCATTAACAATCTAACGGTAATTAATTAATCATTCAAATACCAGTATCCTCTCTAACTCCAAAAAAAAAAAAACTACTTATGATGCCTTAACAGATTAACAGAATCATATTATACTGTGTAGTATCAAAAATGTTTGAAGTATTGCGACCATTGCAACTGTCGGCTACTCTTTCACGACTTGAAAACTCTCTATATCAGCAAATCACAGATAGCTCAGTGGTAAAGTAAGAGGCTCATAAGTCGAAGGACCCGGGTTCGAGACCCGTCTGGGCCAAAAAATTTTGTTCTAGTTTTTTTTCAAAATTTGTTTTTATGAACTATTTAATCAATTTACTCAACTAATAATTATGCTTTTCGTACTAAATCTTTATTATTTTGTGTGAAAAATAAAACGGTTGGACAATGGTTGGCTGGAAAACAGTTTAAAGAGGTGACATTTCTACCGTTGGCCAACTGTGTGGCTCCACAATTTACCAACGTTGGCCCAACCATCTGTGCTACATGGGTAGTGGATTTGGCTGTCCTGAAGCCAAATTGACCAGGCACTAAGAGGCTGTGTGCTTCAAGGTCGTCGTACAATTGAGCAAACATAATAGCTTCAAACAGTTTAGAAAATACAGGAATCAACGATTTTGGTCGATAACTTGCAACATTGTCACGGACCCTTTTTTGTAGATAGGCACAGTTCTGAGACTTTTAATGGAGCAGGAAAAATATCTACTAAAAAGCATCCAAATGGGCTAGTATAAGTACCAGTGCCCACACAATGAGTTTCAAAAGATTAGGTGTCATGCCATACACAACTTTACTGTTAGAAAGTTTAAAGCCTAAAACAGCATTAATAATGTCTTGGACCGATGTTTCCATTCAAAAGTAGGTGCACCATTAGGTATGCTTGACAGGATCACTGGAGAGGATTACGTTACATTTGGAATGGTTGACAAGATGGACTCGACAGACTCAACAAAGTACGAATTGAATTCATCTGCAGATGCAAAAGATGGACCAAGAATATCAGACTTTGTTTGAGGCCTATTTTGATTTATTAAATTCCAGGCCGCCTTACAGGGATTGGAAGCCCCTGTTATGTATGCGGCATTTGAGTTGATCTTTGCATCCCTCACATTCTTACGGTATTGTTTTCTGAGCATCTTAAGCAAGTTAGACAGATCAGGTCTTACACTAACTAAGTCATTAACTTAACTAAAGTTATCATGTTCTTTAGGTTTAGCCTAGAGAGTTCAGGAGTATACCAGTCCTTAACAACAGACACACCATTATTTTTAGAAACCCCTGACTTGCCAACATGCACCTTTTTACATTTTATTGGGAAAAAATTATCAAAGGCCATGTTGAAGTTGACATGAAAAAACATGAAAGCATCATTTGCCGTCAATGCTTTGATTTCATCAAACCAGAAATGTGCATTCAGTTCTAGGTATTCTATAAGTTTAAATTCTGCCTCCTCACTGTAGACTCTGAAAGGATAACACTTTTGAGGACACCTAGTGATGTTGATCCACAGTCGGAGTAGTGACCGACAGCAGAACATGCTTGTGATCTGCAATATTGTCAACACTTACCGCAACCACATTCTGTCCAAGTTGGTTAGAAAAGTGACCAAAGATGCAGGACCCCTAGTTGGTTCGATGATTGAAGGGAATATAGTTCGCATCAAATTTACAAAATCAGACGCGTGGTTGTCAGAGCTAAGCAAATTGATAAGATCAGTTCCAATCACCACAAAAAGAGGATTAAAAAGGTTGTAAGGTAACTTAGACAAAGTTCAAGCAATTCAAGAAATCTATATACATTACCATAGGAGAGCGATACATGCTTATTACCGCCATTGAAAGATTAGGCAGCACTACACCTGCAAATTCATCCTGGAGATCCTCAGAGAAACCACTTAAGTCCAAAGGTTTATAATTACCTGCCAAGTTTGTTACTGAGATACACAGCCACCCCACCAGTAGCTGACTGCCTGCAACGGTATGTTGGTAGTTTTAAATTACTAATTGTATTGTAAAACTGAATTTCATCACTTAAGAGCCAATGCTCGCAAATACACAAAATTTCAATGTTCTTCTCAAGGCTTAAAATTTCGATTTCATTAGTTTTATTTCGCATGCACTGAATGTTAATTGTGCAAAGATTTATCATAAGCCTAGCAGCAGTACTCGTTTGAGCTATGAATGATTTTTACCTAAAAAAGTTCGAGAAGGGAAAAACCCAGTCCTAGGAGTATTTTGTTTATGGAGTATTTTGATTACGTTATCATACTTTTGAAGCAAATCTGGTTGACTTGATAACCTTTTCACAAGTGATTTCAGTTGAGCTATTGGCTAATGAGAGAAAATAATTATCCTGTAAGTTTAGGGGGTATTCTTTCCAAGGCCAAGAAACCGAATACATACAAAACGAAACAGGGGGTAAAATTTCAGTGTGATAAAATTATGCTACCCCGTTATATACATTTTTAGATATGTATAATCAAAGCTTCAAATTTTACAATATTATGACGAGAGGAACCGGGAAGTCTACTTGTCCTATTCAAAGTCATTGTACTATTACTACTATTCCAAATTTCAAAAGTCATTTAATCTATGGCTATGTGAATATGCATGTAGTCCTAATAAATCAACTCTTCACTTCTTTACTTACTTTTATGCCCAATCTTCACTTAACTCATCAAATGCCATATGTTTAAGCTGGAAATCGCAATTATGAATGTGTGTGTATAGAAAAAAAAAGTTTGTGGTGTTTGTGTTGTTAGTAGAAGAGGAAGATCATCATGGCATTGTCATGTTTGTTGTTCTTTCAATACCAGCAGAAAGTTAGATAGTAACATTAGAACAAGAAATATAAAATATTTATGGTTTTTATACTATACCATAAGCTGTAGTGGATATTTTGAAATACTTGTAACACATCCAGTGATATAATCTGTCAAAATTCCTGTTAAAAAATGATAGAGTGGGAAGGTTAGTATGAATCCTGTTTAGATAATATAGCCCAAGCATGAAAATACCCTTTTAGGCTAAAACATTTCTTGTGTCTACTCCATAATAAACTTAATCTTTTGGTAGGTAGAAGCTTTGGCTTAATCAATACAATAGTTTTGAGCCATGACTTTTTAGTGAATACCGCCATACTTACTGCTTAATTACTACTTACATGTTACTTACTGCAGTAAGTATGGCGGTATTCAGTATTCACTAAAAAGAAATGGCTCATAGTTGGTCTAGTTGCCAAAATGTATAGATAGACAAGGCCTAGATCCTTTGTTCTGAAATGACGCCTTAAAACCTGGCATAAAACAGCCTATTTAGTCTAGGCCTAAGTAATTTTGTCTTGATCAAGATTACCTATATGATTTTAACAAATAATGCTAAGACTTGTTACAGTACTCAGAATGTTAAGCTATTTTTTAAGGTCCAACCATAAGTTTGGATGGAACTGTACCCTTAGATGTTATTACTGTACCTTATTAGGTACCGTATCTTCATCTTTTACCCAAAAGCGATTGATGGCGTCATACTTTCAAAATAAAAATTATACATTTAGACAAACCGACATAAATACAAAACATATATTTACAACATTGGCATATTGATAGGCGGATCAGTAAGAAAATTCTGGGAAAATGTCTCCAAAAAACTATTTTAGGGAATTGTAGGCTCTTGACTTGAGTAGAGGGACCAGCTTCTTTAAGAAAAGCTTTCGCTCAAGCTGTTTGATAGATTTGGGCAGCTTGTTATAGATTTGAATTGCTCCCGTGTTGTAATTCTTCTGGGATCTCGTCAGCCTAACCCTGGGCACATCAAGTAACCCGCGCTGCCTAGTTTGGTGGTCATGAACCGCTGAACGAAGTTGGAACTTGTCGCAGTGGTCATGGATCATCAGTGAGCATACGAGGATGTAATGGCTATAAACCGTGAATATCCCCAGCCTTGCAAAGATGGGTTTGCAGTGGGCAAGGCGGTCCCTAAATGTAATATGTCTTACAGCTTGTTTCTGGATCACTAATATATCTTCAACATCAACGGTATGACCCAAAGTAGTTGGCCATAGCTCACATGACAGTGGAACATGGCATGATAGATGTTAAGCAGGTACAGTAGGACCCCTCATATCCGGCCTTGGTTTTACCGGTCCTCTGTTTATCCGGCCCCTTTCAGGAAGCCAATATCAAAATGTTTTTCTCACAGCTTACGGAAGTTAAGATTCAAGCACTAGTCTTTGTGACTGCTCAAGTCATCAAATAAATTGTTCTTACTATTTATCTGTTTATACATTTTTTGCTGTGTCACTATACTAAGTTGAGCTAGTAGGCCTAACCTTTGATCAGTTGGTTGATTATTTCCAAAGTAGGGTTAGTACAGTACAGTATATTATTAATTTTTGTATTTTACAAAATGGATAAAAATGTTGAGTTGAAATCACATTCTGTGGTTGAAATGCATGTACCATTTAAGTCCTAATGATTTTCAAGTCCAATTGATAGTCATTTTTACCATCATTAATAGTATTTGTCGCCTGGAATCATAATATTTGTACATTCTTCATTACTTAACCATTTAAAGTAATGATGGTAGTGAGTCGGTGGCTCAGTCGGTAGCGTCGCGGACTTCGGGCCCAAGGCAGCGATGTCGTGGGTTCGGATCCTGGTCACTGCCGATAACATTTTATCAGTACAGTTCACCTTTGTACTGTACCGGCTCACTCCTTGCTTTGCTGTAAACGATCCACGCACAGGCGCTTAGCCTATGTGGACGGGCAAATGCAAGGTTAAAAGAGGCCGCCAACCTCTTTTTAAAAAAAAAAAAAAAAAAAAAAAAAATTTTAACCTACAAATATTTTTTTTTCTTATTACAAACATGTTTATTTTTTTTTATAACCCCAGAACAGACTGGAATGAGACTTTTCACTGCATATATTGATTACCTATTGTTATAACTGGTATGAATTATCATTTTCATTGTAGGTTGGTTTATCCAGCCAAATCGTTATCCGGCCAAGGGCTTGGTCCCGTGGTGGCCGGTTATAAGGGGTTCTACTGTACTGTTCAGTAATAAAATTTCGCAGCTTGAGCAGACGACAGCACACCCTTGCTTGAAAGTTTGCTGCTAATGTTGCCTATGTGATTGTTCCACGCCAATTTCCTGTCCAGATGGAATCCAAGGAGCTTAACTGGTTCATTAGGTGGGGCATTTCTTGCCAGACTGCAGACCAGTGTCTGGGTTTCATTTTGGCTGAGCTGAAACCCATATTCTTCAAACCAGCGGGACGCTACGGAGAGATGTTGGTTGGCATCTGCAGTGGACAGCTCAACTTGGGGCCCCCGTGACACCAGGGTTGTGTCGTCGGCAAAAAGTACCACCCCTCCATCTCTATCAAGGTCATTGATCAAAACGAGGAACAACAACAGACCTACAATCGATCCCTGAGGGACACCGTACCTAACACTCTTGGGCTTGGATGTTGCGCCCTCCACAGAGACAACCTGATGCCTTCCAGCCAGATAGGAGTCAATCGTCTTCAGTGCCACGCTGTCCACTCCCAAACTTCTCAATTTCCCATGCAGAAGATTGTGGTTAACACAATCGAAGGCACGACTCAAGTCACACATTGTGAGAGTCACTGTGTCACCAGCCTCGAATGCTTCACCAACCAGTCAGCCAACTTCTTAATCGCACCAGTGGTGGACCTCCCTTTTCTGAAACCATACTGCCCATCTGATATCAAGCTGTTCGTCTCCAAATACTGTGTCAGTTGGGCTAATATTATGGCTTCAATAACTTTCCCCAGAACAGGCACTATGGAGACAGGCCTGTAACTGGCAAGAGATTCTCGATCGCCCTTTTTATAGACTGGCACAGTCCTTGAGGTCTTAAGGCTTTGGGGGAAAATACCATTTTCCAAATAACCATTAATAACAGTGGCCAGAGGGGCTGATATGACATCAATAATGTTCTTTAGCCAAGATGCAGACATTCCATAAAACTCTGGGCTGTTAGAGTTCATAAATTTGGTGACAATGCGCAAAATCTCTGCTGAAGAGGTAGGTTGCCAATGATGTAGAAATATGCAAGTCCCTTCCGGCCTCCTGCTGGATGTCTCTAACAGGCCCTAGGCTAGTCACAAAGTTGTTCACAGACTCAATAAAAAAATCTTTAAAATCATCAGGGCTGGAAATGAAAATTAAATGAAATATGCTTTATTGTCTTTTGAATTTGTACAAATCATTGACATTGTCAAGATACCTAGCTAAAATTATAGCATAGTAAGTTAATTAATTAATAAAATACTTATAGCTAACTAAACAAAGGGAGACATATTATAATACATATTCTAAATGAATAATTACAACTGAAGAATTTTATTCTTAAAAAAATCTTCCAAATTATAAAACGGGTTATTGGTCAGCCAACAATAACATTTATTTTTGAAATCCTTTATACTGTGTAGTTTAATCATGGATTCAAGAAAGTTGTACACTTTAAGTGATAAAACTATGTGACTATTTAGAGTTTTACTTAAACGATGGAATTCTATTGAGGCATGGTTCTTATTTCTGGTATTATGATCATGAGTATGGTTTCTAAATTTTAAAAGATGTTGATTTTCCAAGATATAAACTATTAAGTCATAAATATAAACGTTAATAATAGTAGGGATTTGAAGATTTCTAAAAAGTAGTTTGCTGTGGTCTCTGTGCTTGTGGTCTCCCTTGCTGTGGAAGGTAGCTTGTAGTGCACATGACAGCTGGTAGTTGACCTCACCACATCCCATGCAGCCTTGCATTGATTTTTGGCTGATTTTATCATTTTTACCTGCAATCATTAACTGCAAACAGTTATTTTATTTTAGGTACTCACCCTTAACCGTGCGTGTCATGTACGTTAATTTTGTCATAATTTTACAAGTATGGTGGCAACCCTGGTGAGCATAACAGTAGCTGCCTAAAAAATCATATGCCATCATCTGGCAGCAGGGTTTTTAGTCTTGACCGAATCATCGACCTGTTAACACCACTCTGGGTCTGGCATACCCCAACGTGCATGCATGTGTTACCGGTACTATGTTCATTGGGGGGGTCTAGTGTACCCACGTGCATGTACTAGTGTCTCAGTTTTATCATCATAATAAGGCCTAGTATTACCTAATAACTTTGTAACTTTATTATTAATAATTTTTATAGTATTGAAAGTTTGCCAAAAACTTAAGGAGTATCTGTAAACCAATTGGATGGAATTGTTTCCATAGAATCCACTGATCCAGCCGGTGATGCAAAGGTGCCATGCACCGTCTGCCCACGACTAAAAGATACCAAGACCAAATTTAAGAGTAAAAACCTGAAAAAACCAATGTGCAAGGGACAAATCTAAAATATTTGTGAAGTTTGTTTAAACTAAACTAACCAAAGGACGAGGATGTTTAAAGAAAAACATACATCATCAAGAAAGTTTTTAATTTTTTTTTTACAGTACCTACCTATTTTCTTTAACACGTTCGCTGCTACGGACATTCAGGAACGTCAAATGGGCCATGGCGCCAGGAGCTAGGAACGTTCCGGAACGTCGCCGTTCATTGATGTTTAACATTAACATGGATCAGCCAGCTCGTCACAAGCGTCCTATATTTCTTTGCAGCTCGTGGGGACATTCTTTTCTGACAATAAAAATATAGGTAGTTTCCCAAAATCACCACCAGGGTCGTTTAGAACAGGGCTTTGTCCCACCTCTTTCCTGCTATCTAGACAGCAACACTACTTTACCGACTGCAACCTGGGTAGTGCTGCTATCTATCAGAATCACTTAGTACTATGTCCAAAGCCAGTTTTATTGCAGAACATTGCCATCCAGTACAACTACTGTTGTTTTTACTGTAATTAAGTGTATCGGCAGCAATGTTTACGCAGCGACGAGCGTTAGTTCAGCTCCTGGCGCCGTCCCGGCATCTAGCGGTCAGCAGCGAACGTGTTAAACCGAAAATGTATTAGCCTAATTCTTGACATATTTACTGCTTCCATGGTTTTTTACAAATATTATACTTTTGTAATATTACAAGTAATAAGTTACTTGTTTGCAGTAAAAACTAATTTAACTACGATTATTAGACCCAGCGTAAAGAAAACGAGCATGCATGCTTAAGGGTTAAATTTTTTTCTAAGCTTCATCCCCAAGACCCCAAGTCAAGTCCTTGCGGTTAAACGTATTTAAAAGAAAATTAACCATGGAACTAAAAGCAACCAAATTAATTATGGACCAAGACATATAAAATACAAATAGAGTTACGTATCATTGATTGCAGATAAGTACTAAAACAATTATAATTAGGCCTATTGTTGATTCGTGACTCAGCAGTGTGCTTTAGGTAGTCCGATCTTAATAATCAATAGCTCAAATGAAAGCTGGTATTTCACTAAAGGTATGTTATACCAAATGAAACAAGTATGGCATGTATTCTAGTGTTTGTTGTTTTTACATATAGGGTAATGTAATTAGAACTGCTGGAATACATATTTAATTGAAGTAACAAATCTAATTTATATTTTTTTGTCGAGTAATACACTAGATAAATTAATGCCAAATTGATACCATAAACTTCTTGGAAATACTCAAAAAAGGCAGCCAAAAGTCGCACCCAAATCAAAAGTGTGAAAAACACCGTTTTTGCACCGAGGAGGTTGGGCGCCCAGACCACTAAGGCTTAGTCGAGCAGCTGACAAACTAAGGCCTTGAACAGGATCGTTGCGTGATCAATCCCAGCATGCGTGACGCCCTGGTAAATTTGTGACTTATGTGCGGTCCAAATGTAAACGATGCATCAATCAGAACGCCCAGGTCCTTGATAGTGGTGCACCTTTCCACCCTGTTCCCGTCAAGGAAATAGTCTGCTTCCAAGTTGTTCTTTTTCCTAATGAACGTTATAATTTTTGTTTTGACAGGATTTGCTAACATATCATTCGCTATACATCAACTGACGACATTGTCGAGGGCTTCTTGAAGTAGTTGACAGTCAGTGTGAGAGTTGAATTCTGTGAAGAGCATTATGTCATCAGCGAACAGTAGAAAAGGCACCTTTAAAAAATTATTATCTTCAGTATCATCTTTGAAGATTGGGAACAAATTTATAGTGTGGCTCTAGGTCATTAGTTTTGCTGTAGTATATATCCCTGGATCCAGGTATTTCCATTAACTTACAGTGACCGAAGGAAGCCAAATGAATTTGTGGAAGAAAGTATTGACTTAGTATTTTGCTGATTACAAATTGAAGCTTAATAATCCAGTAACCTAACGCATTATACCTTGCATGAAATGGGGTAGTAAGTTTCTTTTTTTTATGTTGTTTGTAATAGTACCGAGTTGCTAAATCCAAATTTTCGACCTCGGCGACCTTCCGGATCACCTCCAAAAAGCTTAAAAATCAGCAGAATTACGCACTATTTTTACGTTTGTCCGATTTTGACCCTGAAGCACCACTTTTCATAAAGAACAACCATAACCATTTTTAAAGTATATTAAATTACCTATCATATAAGACCAAAATGGTTATTACAGGCCTAATAGTTTTCAAGATATGACTCCGCAAACAACGGCTAAAATTACCAAATTTTGAATTTTTTTTAAGTTTGGATAACGATAACCCTTAAGCATAACTTTATCGTTATTTTTCATTAAAACAACCATAATTACTTTGAAACTGCATTAAATTACTCACAATTTAAGACCAAAATGGTGATTATAGGCCTAACACATTGAGAGATATGCCTCTTCAAGTTTCATAAAAACTTCCATAAATGTTTGTATTTTAAGAATCAAGTTGTTCAATTTGATCAAATTTTATAAAATAACCATAATAAGAATATAAACAAATTTATTTAATTTCAACAACATATTATAAGTTTTTTATGGAAGAAATCTATTGTAATTAAAATGTTTATACAGTACTATCAAGAGGAATTGATATAAAGAATGAAGATGCAACAGTGAAAAAAGGTTTCAACTTTGCTGTTGTTATGCCATGCAATATATTACTTCTTTTATGTCAGGATTTACTGGCACTCCTCAGGACCTCCTGTCCTGTCTGTGCTGTATGAACTGAGCAGTAGTGGGGGGAAGGACCAACTTGTTCAAACTACAGCACTGACACTAGAAGGACATGGGTATAGGTATCCTTACATGAGCCTGATAATAGATAAGGAACTCTTACACTGGATCTGCCTGCCTGCATGCTTATGAATTTTCACAATTTCTTGATAAGGAATAAGATTAAACAACCTTTAGGTATGCTATACCTTTAAGCTTTAAATCAAGAGGACAAATTGTAACAAATTTCAAGAACTTAATTGAAAATAAGACTAATAATATAATTTTTTTTGGGTGAAAAAAGTTGTCTCAATTTGAAATTTCAAAGTCCTATAACTTTTGAACGCTTCAACCCATCAGTATGGGATTAACTGCAGGATGTATATAATTCAAATATTTACAATATCTGACAAAAAAAACTATATGTCATCATCATGAGTCATATCATGGTTGTTTGTAGGTAATAATGACCACAGGTGTCCATAAATCCCATGGCACTGTGGGTGGTCTTTAGCTCTTTCCTGTGTTAAAACTTAATTCTTGCGTAAATTGTAGGTTTTTATTGGTATTTTTTGGTTTCTTACCTTGCTCCAACTAGTATCTTTTTTATATATGAGGTTTTAAAAAGTCAATAGTGATTAATTTGAAAAATATTAACAAATGATGTATGGTTTGCACAACAAAACTCGCTTAAATTCTTGTAAATCTGACTTTGTTTTTGAATTATGAAGCAAACTATTGACTTTTTATAGTCTAAATTGGTTCTATACCATTGAGTATATAGTCCTTCAGTGTAATAAAGCATTTTCAAGCGTTAAAAATATATAAACTGCAAGGAAATAAACAAATTAAGTAAAATGTTAGCAAAAACAATTTGAGTATTTTACGTAATGTTTTCACTCATTAAATATGATTTTTTTGTCTAAGTAAGAATTGTATTCCATTTATATACTCTTTGTGTAATTTATAATACCATAATCCTATTCAAAATTATTAAATTTAAGCTTTTTTGCCACTTTAAAGTTGAAATCAGAAAATCTGTTACGCAAAATCAATGTTTACGTAATGTTTTTCACCTATTAAATGAGCTTTATTTGTATATCTTATAGTTGTATTAATTTCATACACTTTTTATGCAATTAAAAAAAGCCATAATTGTATTCTAAATTATAATATTCAAGCCAATTTTAAGCATTTCAAAGTTTAAGACACAAAATGTGTTAGGTCAAATTAATTAATTTACGTAATGTTTTTGACCCCTTAAATTGGGTTTATTTGGAAAAAATACGATTGTAATCCTTTTATACACTCTTTATGCTATTACAAAAGTCATATCGGTATTCAAAATCATAGTATTTAAGCCATTATTTGGTATTTCTATGTTGTAAACAGTTTAATTCAAAATCAAAATTACGTAAAAATGAATACCGTTCGTCACAGGCCTGTGTTCTATCCCCGAGAACCATTTATTGTAACAATGTACGTGTGTGTTTATGTAGACAGATACAATAGATTTATTTCCATTTAAAAATAAATGTTTATAACACAATCTGTACTCGAAATGAAATAAATTTGTCTATTTCTTATTATGGTTCTTTTATAAAACTTGACAAAATTGAATAGCTTGAAAGTTGAATCTTAAAATACAAACATTTATGGAAGATTTTATAAACCTTGAAGGGGCATATCTCTCAATGTGTTAGGCCTATAATCACCATTTTGGTCTTAAATTGTGAGTAAGTTAATGCAGTTTCAAAGTAATTATGGTTGTTTTAATGAAAAATAACGATAAAGTTATGCTTAAGGGTTAACGTTAGCCAAACTTTAAAAAATTCAAAATTTGGTAATTTTAGCCGTTGTTTGCGGAGTCATACCTTGAAAACTATTAGGCCTGTAATAACCATTTTGGTCTTATATGATAGGTAGTATGATAGGTATATGATATACTTTAAAAATGGTTATGGTTGTTCTTTATGAAAAAGTGATGCTTCAGGGTCAAAATCGGACAAACGTAAAAATATTGCGTAATTCTGCCGATTTTTAAGCGTTTTGGAGGTGATCCGGAAGGTCGCCGAGGTCGAAAATTTGGATTTAGCATCTCGGTACTATCAAAAACAACATAAAAAAAAGAAACCTACTACCCCATTTCATGCAAGGTAGACCCTGATTTTTACAACAAGGTTACTGGGTTATAAATTAATTTGAAATTTCTCACAAAACTGTTCATGTATGTAATTCTTGAAGGTTAACAACATTTTGAATCACTTTTATTTTTTAGTTTGATTGGGTTTAGTCTTCTTTCGTATCAGTAACTTAAGTAGTCTTGTTTTCAGATCTCCGTAAACAAGCGAGGAAACTAGAAAATGAAATAGATCTGAAGCTGGTTTCATTCAGCAAACTTGGTACAGGGACAGTTAACACTTACAAGAACAATGAAAGGTAAAGTAACATCTTAAAATAGTTAACTTTTACATATACAATTTAACTACCGGTAAATTCTTACATCAGGCCTACAGTAAAATGGGATTTTACCTTTAAAATTACATGAGATTGTGCAGAATCATACCTAGATTACTGCTGTAGGCCTACTGTCTTTTCCGTTGCTTTTAAAGGAAAGGATTTTTTCTACTTTTTTGTACTAGATATCATGTTTACATTTGCTATGTTTGACAGATGGATGACAAATAGAACCAGTGCTCGATTTGTGAAAAATGAGATGCCGGATTTGTAACCTATTTAATGTGATTAGTACCTATTTATACATCTATTTGTGCCAATATTTTTATCTTTCCAAAAGAGAGATTCCGGAATTCCGTTCCGCCCCGTTCCCCCTCAAATCGATTTCTGGGTAGAGCTATACCTTTTAGACATTCCATCCCCATGTTAAAGTTGTAGCCAGGTTTTTAATAAAATTTGTCTTAGTTGATGTGAGCCACCTACAGATTGCGCTGATCTAAATTACTGATTTATGCCGATTACATGATGGTTTTTACCAAGTCAAACTGATGGAATGACTTAATTATGAGCTATAGCAACTGTTGTGACCCAGCAACTATGTCAGTTAACGAGAAATAAAGTACAAAATAGAGTTTTAGACACTAGCGCAATCTGTGACTGGCTCACACAACTACATTCTTTTTTAGTAAAAAATTGGCGACAGCTGATCCATATAGATGGGATGTCTTCTTCTGTATCCAATAGTCAATGGCTATACTAAGTGCATTCTAGCAGATGGATGTAGGCCTAACCAAATTTAATATAAACTAACTTAGCCTTATATGAATTTTTAAAACAATCTTAATTCTATCTCTCACCATGTTACTGTAATTAAATTATGATGTGTTTAAGACTGATTTGTAAATATGGTTAACTAGCCGCCCCTTTTTATAAACTAGATGAGTTTTTCAAAAGTGATATTTCTAATTTGATGTTTTGAAAGCAAATGCAATGACCCCAACTTCTTTTAGTTTTTAGTGTCACTCTAGTCATTTTATTTAAGTTAACTTGTTTCTGATTTTTAACCATTTTGATCTATTTGTTTTTTTATTAACCATTACCTTTAGTTAATTCTTGTTTCAGAATCTATATTTTACAATCCAGCCATGTTAGTATAATTTGTTTCTATGTACTTTTTCTATTTTAAATTCTATTTTGCCTATATTTTGTACCTAGTGTTTCCTTATGTACCTGCTATTAGTAGATTTTAAACCTGACCAGCTTTTTTAAACTTTTTTAATTAAATTATCTTTGTTATTTTTACTGTGAAATATTTAATTTGCTACATTTTAATATTGTGTAGCAATTTACTATGTAGCAAATGACAAACCTTATTGCCTTGTAAAATGTTTAAAGGGTAAGTGATTCTTATTCTTAATAGCCATGGCTATTCCAATAACGAAATGTCTCCTCCATTTATTAATTTTCAACCAAACATTACCTTACGTTTAAATAATTATTTTCTTATTCTTAACTTACAACATTAAAAATCTTCTTTTTTTTCGACGCTCCTCTTTGCAGTCGTGGAGCCCGGAGAGTTGTCAATTTCTTAGAGGGGGTTTGTTGTATCTATGCGTGTGTGTTATATGTTTGTGTTATATGTATATGTTTGTGTTTGTGATTTATTTTTTTTTATTTTTAGAGGTGTGTTACATTGTTGTGGTCCTGTAAAATTCCTTTAAATTGTAGTATGACCTGTTTGGGAAATATTTTTTAAGGCTAGTGATGAATTTTTTTGTTTCGTTTATCGATTTTATGTTTTGAGGAAGAGAGTTATAGAGTGTTGTTCCCATGTATGTAGGGGTTTTACTTGTTCTGTGTAGTCTGTGTTAGTTTTGGTTGAGATTTGCCCCTGACCCAATATTGTATTGATGGTATTCTTGTCTGGTTTGTGGAGGATCTGATTTGATGGCGATGATTGTGTCAAGGATGTATTGGGAGGTTAGGGTAAGGATCTTATATTGGCTTGCAATGTTCTTCATTTTCGACCCTTGCGATGATTCGGACAGCTTTTTTCTGAAGTGTAATGATTTTTTGTAGGTGAGTTTCGTCTGCTCCTCCCCACGCTATAAGTCCATATTTGAGATGAGATGAGAAGAGTGCATGGTAGGCTGTTATTACTATTGATGTATTTGTGATATCTCTGATTCTTCTGATTGTGAAAATTGCCAATGATAGTTTTGAGTGTAGAATTTCTAGGTGCTTCTACCAGTTTAAAATTGCATCAAGGGCAACTCCCAGGAATTTCGTATGGTTTGCTCTGTAACTATGCTGTTTTCGGTTAGTGGTCTAGCTGCTTCTTTATTAGGTACCGTTAGTTCTGTCTTTAACTTTGAATTCAATGTGCACTGGTTTTAGTTTTGTTTATGGTTAAATTCATGTCTTGGCTTATATTACTGGCTGATTGTATTATGTTTTAAATTTGAATTACGTCTTTTGTCATGGGGGCAATTATGGTTGTATCGTCGGCAAACATGATGCATGTGCAGTCAGGGGTGGGGGAAGAGTGTTGGGAGGCAATTTATGTAGATGAGAAAGAATAATGGTCCAAGAACTGATCCTTGTGGTATTCCGGTGATGGTTTTTTTTAAATTTTGATCTGTATATTGTTATATGGTTGTTTGATAAGTATTCTATTTCCACCAGTTGTTCTCGGTGCTCCAGGTAGCTTTGGATCCAGCGGAGGGCTTTCGGTAATTTTACTTCTTGTAATTTTTTCAGAAGAATCCTGCGGTCCAGACTGTCAAATGCCTTTTCTAGGTCAATGAAAATACCGTTTGCTGTTTGTTTTTTTCCCAGATGTCAGTGATGGAGTTGCACAGCTGGGTGAGAGCTGTGTTTGTCGACTTTCCTTCTCTGAAGCTATGCTGGTTGCTGCTTAGAATATTGTTTTTTTTTTTTCTAAATATGATACCAATTGGGCGTTTATAATTTATTCAAGATATTTTGATTATTAAACTGGAAGGAATGAAATAGGGCGGAAGGCTGTCGTCTCCTTTTTTGTATTTAGGGTATACAAGGGCTTTTTTCATTGCAGTAGGAACTGTTGATTGAGTAATGGAGGCATTTATGATATTTACAAGGGGGGAGATCAGTTCGTTTTAAAAAAAATTTAATAATTTTGTTCGGTATTTCATCTAGGCCTGAGGAGTTTTTCGGTAGGAGATGCTTGAAGATTTCTTCCAGTTCTGTCTTTGATATGGGTTGAAACTGGGCCAGTCCTGTAAGTCCATTTATAGATGTAATTTGATTGTTTTGGTTTTGTTCTATTTGCTGTGTCCTGGGTTATTTCCAGGGTTTATGAAGATGGAGTTGAATCCGTTGGCTATGTCAATTGGGTTTGTGGTTTCATTTCCATTGAGATGTAGAGTTAGATTTTTCTTGGTTTTTTTCTGTGTTTTTTCGCTCCTTGTTTGACAGTCTTGGTTTTGTTTTTATTTGGTGCCTCATTTATTGTTTTCATGATTTGTCCCGATTTATTTTTTTTAATGCTGGTGTCGTACATTTTCTTTAAGTTTGAGTATGTTTTCTTATCCTCCTCAGTATTGCTCAGTATATATTTGTCATGGGCTAGATTGGTCAGGTTTCTGTGCTTGATCAGTTTTTCATCCCAAAAAATAGGTTTGTTAGGCAGATGTCAATGCTGGTAATTGAAGTTGGAGTAATTCTTGTAAATGGTATTTTCCCACCCTCTAGATTTTGTTCTTTCAGGAAGTTTGTAAGCTTTATCGTGTCTGGGCTAGTAGGGTTTAGTATGTTAAATAGACAATAGACAAATTCTTTATTCCTTCAACAATATACGCATATTGTAATAGACATCGTCAAACTTAACAAGCAATAACAAAATATCAAGGCAACAAATATTTGTTCTGTCAAAAGATACATATAATACATAAATAAATGTCACAAAAATACAATATCTAATCTGTCTACAATAAGGTCATCTATGTCATAAAAAGGATTTTTTACTAGCCAGGAATACAATACTTTTGCAAATTTTCATTCTGATAAATTCAGCCAGGCTTTTGGTAACTTGTTAAAGAACTTAAGACCTAAATAACTATGGTAACTCTTTGTTTTGGTTAATCTACATTTTGGTAACTGTAGGAGATGTCTATCTCTTGTTTCATAGTCATGGAATATGGCTCTTTTAGGCAACGATGGATAGTTTTTCTTTACCAACATCAGAACATCATATATATATAAAGATTAACAAAGGTTAAAACATTAGCTTCTACAAATAATGGTTGACAATGTTCTGACGGTTTAGCATTCATTATTATTCTAATTGCTTTTTTTTGTAAGATTAAAATTCTATCCATGCCTATACCATTTCCCCAAACTGTCAGGCCATATCTTAAAATACTTTCAAAAAAGGAAAAATAAGACATCCTTAAACACACCTTAGTTACTTGTCTTTTTAAATTAATCAGTAAATATATTATTCTACATAACCTTTTACAAACAATATCAATCTGATTTTTCCATGAAAGACTAGCATCAATACTTATACCTAACAATGTTACAGCCTTATTTACATCATATAAATTACCTTTTTTTAAAGAAACTATCAAATTTTGTGTTTTTCCTTCATTTAAAAACAAACCATTAGCTTCAAACCAACTCATTGCATCCAGAAGGGCTTCTTCTGACAAATATTCCAGGTGCTCTATACACTTACTTACATTCAGAAGGGAAGTATCGTCTGCATATATTGTAGTAAAACTAAAATTGTTAAAACTAAAATCATTTATCAAAATTATAAAAAGTATTGGCCCCAATACAGATCCCTGTGGTACACCTGATAAAACATCTAAAATCTGGGAACAAACACCTCCTACATCTACGATCTGCTTTCTATGTCTCAAATATGACTCCAACAATTTCAACTCTTTACCATCAAAACCATAGTATTTTTACTTGGCAAGTAATATGTCATGATT